AGGGACACACACACACACACACACATCCACGTCCTCTGAGGGTGCGGCAGGCCCGTGGAAGAGCAGGTGTGCCCTGGGGGCTGTGCGACTTCACTGGGGCACCGCCAGAGACAGGTATGAGAACACTGGGTCTGCCGTGGGCACAGCAGCTCCACGTGACAGCCTGGACCAAACAGACCTCTCCGAGGCCAGCTCTGTGTGACACAATAAAGAAGCAAATGTGACAACGTGACAAAGTTAAAATGACACCCCCAAACTATGGACAATGCTATGCGTCATGTACACAGGGTTTGCCCATGGCAGACAAGGCACGTGACGACTTTCAGCCTTGTCTCCACCGCGGGGCAGAGTGAGAGCCGACAGCTCGGGCCCTGAGCTCAGGTCTGCAGCCAACCCACCCAGCCTCAGCAAACTGGCACCCATCGCAGGGCCTCCATCCCACAGACAATCCACGCTGAGAGAAAGCCACGTGGGAAGACACACGGCGCTGTACCTGGCCACGGAGCCGCTCCACAAACGCTGGTGTCGAGTGTCATAACCAGTCAGCTCAGCGGAGCAGATGGCACCAGCACCGTTGGAGAGCATGGTGCTTGTGTCAAAGGTCTTCCTGAGGGCTCAGTGACAGAGACCCACTCAGAACCACGGACTGCCCTCCAGGGTGGCACTTCATGAGGCCAGTGTTCTCCAGCACAGAGAAGTTTGGGTAACTTGTGCACACTCCACTTACACCCTCTGATCCCAACCGTCCTCCGTGAAGCCAGCGGGCTGAGAATCCGGGGGGTAACAAACCAAAGGCTGGACCGAGCCCTGGCTGGGGAGTGAGAGCACTGCCCCCCCGCGTGGAGCCCCCAGGCACCAACACCGGTGCGGCTGTGGAAGCAGGACGGGCGCACCACCAACTCGTGGACGTGTACCTGCCGGACACTCTCACTACTGTGCTCACGCACGAGTCCTGACAGCCCCAGACTGGAAAGCATCCCAGTCCCCATCAGCCATGGAAGGCGTGAACTGCGCTCCATTCAGATGGGACACTGCACAGCAACAGGAACACAGCTCAGCCACAAGTGGGCAGGGGTTGTCCCCAAGGACACGCTGAGCAGTGGCACCCCCAGCAGGGACACTGGTGCTGAAGGACACCACTGACGGGGAGGGCAGAGACGGCGGAGCCACGCTAGGGCTGAGCCTGGACCCTGGGGAGTGATGGGGGGTATCTGGGCCCTGGCAGCACCGTTTGCTCGTTCTGGATGCTGGTGACATGGGTGCGCCCAGGTTGTGACGATCTGATGAGCTGTTTAATCCTTCACACATTTGTATGTTCACATCTTCAATAATAAAAAGTTGAAAAATACAAAACTCCTGGCATAAAACTTTTATGCTGATCATTTGTCGACTGCCCTCATTTGCTGGAGAAGGATTTAAGCAGCGACACAGGAATGTCACGCATCTCCCGACACTGATGCGCACCCGCTGCGTTTCCACAGAGGCGCAGGTCCCCCGCCAGCCCACACCCTGGCGATGCCACTACTGAGCTCAAGTGCCCAGAGGGCGAGTGCCAGGCCACACACCGTAGCAACCTTGGCAGGGTAGCTACCAAAACTTCACTGACTCTGTCGGTGACTAAACAGCCTTTCCACTCCAAAGACGGCCAGTGCACCCGCGGCTGCCGGTCACAGGGCAGCAGGGCAACGCCAGAGCGCACAGGCACAGAGCATTTGCTGTCCACCACTGCTGGGCCTCCTGCTAAGGAAGCTCGCACGGCTGAAACCAGGCCGCCCGCAGCCCCATCCCCTCCTGCGTCTCCACGCACTCCTACCTGTGAGTGAGAAGGCGGAAGGAGGACAGACGCTGAGTCACAGAGCCCCTCCCACGGGAGTGTGACCAAGGACCTGGGGAGCTTGCCCAACAAGATTCATCCTGAGCCACTTTCTCAACTGAGAGTAAAAAGCACACGTGGACCCAAAGGCAGGTGGGTCCTTCAGAAACCTGAGCCCAGGTGCAGTGCTTTCATTTAAGGTGGAACGTACAGCGTTTTCATTTAAGGTGGACAGGGAGGAAGGAATTTGGGAAACACTTTTAACTGCCTTGAGGTGAGGACTCTCCAGAACTTGCTACTTTGTTAGTATCTTGGATATAATAAAACGTATGAAAAACTCAGTGAAAGAGCCTATCCAATTACTGTGACACACTATTACATATAAGTAACCAAGCAAGCTATGTTACAAATTTCATTGGCCTATTTGGTTAGTCATACCATACATGTTCAAATGCAGTTACACCTCATTTCTGACTCAAACAACACAGAACATATTAATTCTCGATGGCCTGTGCTATTTTGCACAAGTAGATGTCCATAAATACAGTGTAAGCACGGCACATTTATATTTATGTGTGTGTATGTGAAAAGAACCACACTGAGTTCTGAATACTCGTAGTTTTTGGAGCTCGTGTACTGGAATGGGCCAGTCCTTAAGTTAACGCTGACATCAGCCTGCACGCGCTGAGCAGTGAGCTCAGGGCCGTCCCAGCTGTCCCTAGCCCAGGCTCCTGACCGGGGCGTGGGTGGCACCGAGGAGAGTAGGACGATCCCTGTCCTCAAGGAGCCTCAGTCTAGTAGGGGCTGAGACATACTAGACTGTGAGCTCCTCGAGGGCAGGAAAGGTGTTCTCGCCATCCTGCCCCGTGACCAGCACCTGGCTCAGCCATCTCGGCACTCAGCCTTCATGGAGCTGGGCACGGATGCGGCCAGTGTGGCAGCGTGGGGTGACGTGACAAAAAGGCCGGTGCTCTGCAGACCCCGAGGGCAGAGGCGAGTGAGTGGGAAGTCACGGGTGCCAGCACGGGGAGGGTCCTGGAGGACGGGCAGGGTCTCGCTGGGTGTGGAGGAGGTAGGCCGGGCCAGAAGAAGCCCTGAATGCCACTACGGGAGCCCAGGCACCCCCGGAGGCTGCTCTGAGCAGGGGTCGTGCCCCACAGCGGTGGTATCAGAAGACAGAGGACCAAGCTCTGCCTGGCAGACAGGAGTCCCAAGCAGGCGGGCGGGCAGGAAAGGGCTAGATACACTGTGGAGAGGGGCTCCAGTAGTGAGCTGGTGAGGCAGGCGAGGAAGCACCGTGACCCCAGGATGGACACGAACACAAGGCAGCACCATGCCCTTCAGAGGGGGGCCCAAGAGGAGAAGGGAACAGCTTGTTCCAAGACAGACGCAATGGCCAGTGGCGGTTTCAACGGCAGACAGAGTGGCCTTGAGAAAGGCAGCACAGCACGGGAGCTGAAGGCAGTCGGAGGGGGAAGCAAAGCCCAGGGGCACTTCTGGGAACCCAGGAGGGGACAAGAGGAAGAGGGCACTGAGAGATCAGGTCACTCCCAGGAGGTGGGGGTGGGGACGGAAGGTCCGGAGACCAGGCGTCAGGGAGGTGGGCAGATGGACTGGGGTTGGGCGTGAGGTGGGGGACTGGAAGGACAGACTCTGTCGCATGGTGAGGAGGGTCAGGAGGAAGAGAAACGTGTTTGAGCAGAGGGAGAAAGGCATCGAGCTCAACCCCAGTGCTGACCACAAGCGCACGGGGCCAAGGGGCAGGGTAGGAGGAAGTGAGTGTGGACTTGGCGCGGCTGCCTGTGGACGCTGAAGACCCCACACGAAGCCAAGGTGGCGGTGGGCACTGAGCCCTGGAGGGAACCGCCGCTCAGGAGAGCCAGCAGCTCGAACCGGAAGCCTTGTGGGCTGAACAGCAGGACTGCCTGCCTCACTCTTGGGGCGGGACTGTGCTGTGTTCTCCATTGAGGCCACGGAACCTCACTTAGAAAAGCAGGTGCTCAGAAAACGGACGAGTGTCCCGTCCCCACCCGTCGGCCATCATCACGCCTTCAAACAGTCCCCTCTGAGGGGGCCTGTCCCACGGGCTGAGTTGCCCAACAGGAAGTGAGACGAGGGGGAGCTGAGAGGGTGCGCGCCCTGGTGACAGGCAGGGCCGTGTGAGCTCGGGTCTTTGGACCCTGAGAGTTGGTAAACTTCGTGGAAGAAGTCTAAGCTATAATAAAACTATCTCCCGTAACATCAGGGAAGCCTCCCACGTGAACGCGGGCAACGAGGCGCCCGTAACCCTGGCACTGGCTGGTTTGTGACGAGCCTCCCCATGCACACGCATTTTGTGAAAACACCTGGTTTTAATCTCCACTCTCACTCAGCTCAATGAGACAACTGTTTACAGAGCACTCATTACGTGCCTGGCCCTAAGCCCCAGGGCTACCAAAACGAGGGAGCCAGGGTGGGGCCCATCATGAGCTCAAGTCTGGCTGGGGACACAGACAAGCAAAGGGAAACTGTCCAGGCCGGGGCAGGGCGGGCTCTTGTGAGGAAGAGGGAGGGATGCATCTCACTGAGAAGTCCCTGTGTGTGTCCCCCAGGGCACAGAGCTGCCCGGCCTGGCGCAGGAGACTCTCAGTGGCAGCTGAGCAGCGGTGTGGATGTTGTGCTAGAACGATAGAAGTTCTGAAAAGGCACCACGGGAGTGGCTGTCTCCCTGGAGGCAGGGTACAGAGGGGATGCTTCCCGAGGGAGGTGACACCCGACCTGTGTTCTAAAGATGGGACAGGGTTTATCAGGGGCCACAGGTGGGAAAAGCCTGTCTGGGAGAGGAGACAGCAAGAGGGGAGGTGGGGCACTGCACGGGGTGGGGCCGAGCGCCAGGGACGGAGGGGCTGTTTGAGACGAGAGGGGACGGGCGCAGGGGCTGTGGGATGGCGGGTGCTGTGTCTGTGCTAAGTCAGTTAGAAGTTAGGGGAGAGAGATAGCATCTTAATTTGAAATTTGCTAAGATTTGAGGATGTAATCTACTTAAGACTCCTGCAAGGTGATAAACAAGTGCAGATCAAGTTAAAAGCGATATATGCCAAGAAATGGGTCAGCCCCAGGCACACTGGCAAAACGGCCTTGGGGGCTGCGACTCGGAGGGAAGCAGCAGGAGCCTGCCCAGCCCGGCCCTCTCTCCCCCCACTCCTACCTGAGCTGAGCTTTGAGCTCAGTGAACCGGGGCCGCCTGCTGGGATCATAGGCCCAGCATTTCGTCATAAGGCTGTAGAGGGTGGGAGGGCAATTTGGAGGCATTGGCAATCTCTCCCCATTCTCAATTCGCCCGATCACATCATTGTTCTTCACTCCTTGAAAAGGCTTCACACCATGCATCAGTATCTCCCACATACATACACCTGCGAAACAGGATGAAAACAAACAGTGAACTCACAGGCATCACTTCTGCATCGGGTAAGGACAGCGGTGCCTACATAGCACTGTGGGAGTAACGAAGCAGTAACACAAAGGAGAAACCGTTATTTTCTAAGAGGTTTTTCTCTCTAAAAATCCTAGTTTAGAAAGTGGCCTGGCAGCTGCAGGGACACTTCCTGGCAATGAGAACAGTTCAGAAGCAGGGGGGTGAGTCTCAGCCCTGCCCCCACATCAGCCCAAACCCCCCACATCAGTCTGAGGGCAGCAGCTGGCCCAGGGCCTGTGGACAAAAGCCCTGAGTGGAAGCCCTACGCCCCCGGGACACGCGGGGTCCCTGGAAAGCTGTCTTTCTCACTTGGGCCTGCCCGTCCTGGCCGAGGGGCACAAAGGCGCTGTCCCTGGTTCACCCACTCACTAGTCACTGTGTCAGGGACTTCTCGTCCACAAACTCCACGAGCAATCTCAGAAAGTCTCCTCCACGCCGCCCTTGCAGGCGTCATCCGCCCAAAAGTGCTTGGATGCTCCTCTCTCCACCAGCTGGCAAGCCGGACCCGGCTCTGAGGGTGTCAACCCCTACGGGGTGGTCAGGGAGCCCCAGCATGGGGGGGGCGGGGCTTCTCTCCTGGCAGCATGGCCACCCTGGCCCCTGAGACCCCCAACCACGCCACAAAGATGACAGGCGCCTTTGCTCGTGCTGACCTCTCCAACCCCACGCCCCACACTCCTTCCTTCTTCACAGACTCTCCCACTTGGTCCCTGTGCCAGTTCCTCTGAAATGCTTTCCCGGTTCTCCCCCTCCCCGAATCCTGAAAGTGCTCGGGCAGGTCTGCGCCCTCGGGCGACGGCTGTGCCTTTCCTTCTGCATCTTCCGCCAGCCTATCCTCCCGGTGGTGCCAATTAGGTCTGGAAGTCACCACAGCCCAGTCGTTTCCCCATAAAAAGTGCAGGACCAAAACAACGCCTCGGTTCTGTTCCCCAGCCCAGAAACGGCGGCATCGTCAGAAACCCTGAGGACAGGAGCCTCGAGGTGAGGCCCTGCCACACTGTGGGCACCCGCTTTGCGCAGGCACGGCGTTCTTGGCCCGCACACCCTACGTCCCTTTACCACGCCCCGTCCCACCTCAGATGCCACTGACTGCGACTTCCGCCGTCATTCCCTGGGACTGAAAAGGGGGGAGACGCTGCTGACTACATCTGCTGGGACTCGCTCTTACTGAAAAGCTCTTTTAACTCAACCAGACAAGAGAACGGCAGAAACGGGGACAAAGCAAGGCCCCCAGGAAGCACGCCCCCAGCCAGCCCAGGTGCGAGCGGAGGCTGCCTGCAGCCCAGCCCGGTCTCCGAGCCCCGAACTGCGAGTGCAGGCCCTCAGACTCTCTGAAGCGGGGATTCCCTGGGGAGGCTGCGCGGCCGACAGGCAAGGCCTTGTGTGGGAGCTGCCTGGCTGGGCTCCGGGGCGTCCCCGATGGGGTCCAGCTGCAGCCCGTCCGCTGCAGAGCCCTGCCGGCCCTCGTCCCGTGAGGGGCCTAAGTGGCTGTGCTGATCAGCAGCATGTAAACAGGAAGAAGCAAGCCCGCCGATGCGGAGGGAGTCACTTCCACTCAGAGGAAGGCTGCAGAGCTGCACAGCTACGGGGAAGCGGCTCCAAGGCAGCACAGCAAAGACACACGCAGGACCGTCCATGAGACCTGCGTCAGCAAAGGGCAGGAAGCACAGAGACGGGGGTAGGGACGCCGCCCCTGCTGCGCACAACTTCCAGGGAGAGGGACGTTTCAGGGCAACCGGCACCACACAGAACTCCCACTGGGGGAGGGGTGCAGGAAGAGGCGCTCCCCGTCCCCCATGTGGAGAAGGGTGGGGAGCTGAACGCCTAGGCCCTGGGCTGAAGCAGGCAGTGTGGGTGCAGAGCCCCCCACACTAGCTGGGAGAGGTTGCAGTGACCACGGTGGGAGGAGGGTGGTGACATCAAGGAACAGTCACAGAGGATGAACGTTGAATTTCGGAGCCTTGAGATAGGCTGTGAAGGAGGTCAGACTCCAGAACAGAGTGAAGGCGAATCTCGGACCCGCGGATGCAAGGGCTCTGGAGGAGCCGCATGGGCGGGCCACTGTCTGAAGGCCATCAGTCCAGGAGAGCAGGGAGTGGGGCAGCAGAGAGGGGCAGAGAAGGGCCCAAGGAGGCGCGCTCCAGCTTCGGCGAGGGAAGTGAGAGAAGAGCGCACGAGGGGACTCAGTGGTGGGATGCCCCAGACTGCACACTAGTGCCACAAGACCCAGACAGGAGGTCTAAGGATGGGGGCGGCCACCCCCCGGTGCTCTGCAGAGGCTCGGCGCATTCCACAGACTGCAGGAAATGTCATCGGGAAAGCACGAAGCTTTCCAAATACTCACCAAACATCCACACGTCACTGGCTGAGGTAAAGCGTCGGAAATTGATCGACTCTGGAGCCATCCATTTAATAGGCAATTTTCCTTTGGAAGCTAGAAGATTAATTTCACAAAGTGAATTTTCCTTGTTACCTACTGAAAAATTCAACAGTTACAGCTAGCTGAGACTTTTAGTATCAAAATAAAAACCTTAAATAGGAAACCCTTGGACTCCTGTCTCTTTGGGAGAACTACTTTTCCTTTCGCTGATGTTCCAAGGTCACCAGCAGGGTGAGAGATCACACTGGGTGGGGACTCAAACCCTGGTGTGCTCTCTAGGGAGCGGCTGGAGCAGAAGTGAGAGGGAGCCTGTGAACTGGAGCCATTGCTGGCCACGCGGCCGTGCAGGCCTTACACCTGCCCATGAAGGCCCCCTCCCCCCCAAGGGAGCCCTTGCTCTAGGGCGCCCCGCTCAAGACCACCAGCCAATTCCCAGTCATGAGGTCGCCTCCAACTCTGAGTCCTGGCGCCCAGGGGAAAAAGTGGCCACGGTGCTTATCTCACACCGAATGTGACCGTCAACCCTGCAGACAACAAAGCCGGGCAGGGTCTGTCTTCAGACTGGGAGGGCCAGGCATCTTTGGTCAACAGCCTCAGTCGGGACCTCTGCCCAGACAGCAAGCCTCTGACGACGGTCCTGGGTGCCCACTACACTGGGTGCGTTCACATTTGTCCGAGAACTTCAAGCACCACCACGACAGCTGAGCTCAAGCCCAGCCTGGCTCCTTCCAAGCGAACCGTCTGCACCTGTGCTCGGAGCCAACCAAGCCCGAACCTTCAGTGGACCCCGCGGCCCTGGCCTTCCCGAGACTGCGCTTGCGTGTGGCTGCCTGCCCGAGCAGAGGCTCAGGGCACTCAGCCTCCGCCACCCAACTGCTTGGAGTTCAGCACTTCACCTGGATTCTGGGTCTTTGGTTGGTTAGGGATTGGGCTGCACAGGAAATGTATTTTAAAGCAGTAGAAAGCTGACTTGGTTGTTTCACAGTGAAATGACTATGGAACCAAAATGAGTACACAACCAAAGAGCTTTCTTTTCACACAGCAAAAAACCGCTGTTAAGACTGTGTCAGGCTACAGCGCACAAAAAGCACATGGAGAGAAAAAGCCAGGAGCCACAGCACAGGTGAGAAAGTCAGACAGCCGGGTGAGAAGCCGGCCTTTGTAAGACGGTTGTGATGATCAGAGCACACACCAACAGCACAACATGGACTTACACGTCAGACCTTGGCTGAAATACCAGGAACATGAACATTTATTATGAAGAAACTTTGTTCAGCCCTGGCTGGTGTGGCTCAGTGGACTGAGTACTGGCCTGCGAACCAAAGGGTTGCTGGTTCAACTCCCAGTCAGGGCACAGGCCTGGGTTGTGGGCCAGGTCCCCAGCAGGGGGCGTGCAGTAGGCAACCACACACTGGTGTCTCTCTCCCGTCCCTTCTCTCTTAAAATAAATAAATAAAATCTTTTAAAAAGTTTGCTCAACAATAATCTGAAGAACCAGATCAATCTGATTCTAGGTTCCTAAACTAAACACAAACCACAGGAGCTAGATTTCAGTTCCCAAACGAAGGGAGCAAATTCCTAGGCCACCGGCAGCACACGCAAGGCCACAGCCAAGTCCAACCTGCCACCTGGTTTCTACCCGGCGACAGCGCCAGACTCCTTGCCCCCAGTTAAGGAGTAGTTACATTTACACAGTCCTAAAGTCACGTTCAGCCCTTTGAAGGCCACCTGGAGGCTGCTGTGGCCCCCGGTGAAAGTGACAGCCCTGTCCTAGAGTGAGCCGACGAGCGCCGCAACCTAGACGGCTCAATGCGGGGTCTAGAGCAAGTCAGACCCCGCACTGAGCGGAGGCACCCGCCCCGCCACTGCCAGCCTGCACCTGCACCTGCACCCGCCCGCCAACACACCCTGGCGAGGTCTACCGTCCGCTGCCGGAAACAAACCACAGCAAGCGTTCCAATGCAGGTCTTGTGTGACCAGAAGTCCGTGTCTCCCAGAGAGCTGCCCAGGGGTGTCACTGATGGGTTCTATGTAGCAGCACGCATGGTTTTTTAAGAGTCCTCGAACTCTCTTCCAGAGTGGCCATACCACTTCACTCTCTCACAGGCAACTTGTGAGCAACCTAGCCCGTGAGTCTCCGCCGGCATTTGCGTGAGTGCTCCTTGCAAGCTTGCCATCGAGACAGGTGTACAATGACACCCCTCTGTGGCCTTGCTGCGCATTTCCCCACCGAATAGTGTGCTTATTTCTCACCTGCACACCCTCTGCACTCAAGTCTTCCTTCATAGCTTTTGCCCTTTTGCTTTCTTCTTTGTGTCTTCTTATTACTCTTGAGTTTCAAGAGTTCTTTCTATACTCTAGATACGTATAGTTCTTGTTGGATACCTATATAGTTGGTAAATACCTTCTTTCACTTCGTAGTTTGTCTTCTCGTTCCATTAACATGTCTTTTGCAGAACAAAGATCTTTAATTTTGAAGAGGGTCCAACCTATTCATTTTCCCCTTCTTTGGATGTTTCTGGTTTCAAGTCTCAGGACTCTCTGCCCTTGATCCCTACGTTTTTTCCTAGAAGTTGTACATTCTGTAACTGGCTCTGACTCACCCTGAGTTCATGGGGTGAGGGTCTGGCCGAGGCCCAAGGGCACTCCGGCACCACACCACAATGACAGGCTGTCCTCCCCTGCGAACTGACCTCACACCTATCAACGATTAGCTGAGCATGTTCCTTAAAAACATAGCTGGTGAAGAAGTGAAAATCACTGAAGCTCCTGAGCCTATTTCTTATGTGTCGCTCCGACCTTACCTTTGTAGTAAGTACTGTCTTCCATGTATCGGGACAGTCCAAAGTCACCCAGTTTCACACAGTCATTTGAGGACACCAGGACATTCCGAGCAGCGATGTCTCTGATGAGGAAGAAGCCAGGACAACAAAGTTTAACACAAGGAAGACAAACCGCAAAGCCACCTGTATTACATAAAGATGTACCAGCACTTTAAAAGAGAGCTCAGGTACTGTACATGCAGACAGGGGTTAATCACACACTGAAGAAAGGGACACTTCATTATTTTACTTCACACAGATTCCTTCTGGCAGATTTACTTGTTAGCATGTTGATCGGTACTTTGAACGATAACAAAGCAAGGGTCTGGCAGAAGTACGGCCTGCCTGAGTGTGCCTGGGAGGGTAATAATATGGGCATAATAATTTATAGTTTTAACTTGAACATTTCACCTAAAACGTGACATGGCATGCTTGACTGCGATATTGTTATGTTATAGAATGACATGCTTATGATTTTGTAATAAAAAGGGGCGTTATTTGTGCCAGATCCTACACATTCTCAGTAATGAAACCACTCAGTACTTTTCCAACAACCTACTTCCAGCTGCACTGCTGAAGGACCAGGACAAACAGCCACGGTCTGTGCCTACTGCCCTGGGGACGCGATAAAACTCATCATCTCGATCACCTCTAGGTGATGAGTTTGTGTCACTGCCATGACGAGGCCTGAGCACGGTGCTGAGCTGTCACCGCACTCAGTCTGGACCCAGGACCGCGCGCTCAGGGCTTGAGCGCCACAGGCAGGCCCTGCACAGTATCTGCGGAAGCAACGGCTGATCCGAACGTGCCAGGAGGTGTTTCAAACTCCATGTTGGGGGAGAGCCCTTCACCCGGGGGGGGGGGGGGACAAGCTGCAGTGCCTCACTCAGCCAGGACTGGCACAGCACCAGCGTGACCGAGTCGCGAAGCACAAAGGGCCTCTCCCCGGCCTCTTCCCCGTTTCTCCCACCCCCTTCCTCGCCCGGGTCCCACCCGGACCTTACCTGTGCACAAATCTCTTGCTCTCCAGGTACGCGAGAGCTGTGCTGAGCTGGTAGGCGTACAGGATCAGAGATGCTAGGTCCAAGTTGTACTTCCGGACTTGCAGGAAAGATCTCAGCTTTGGAGCAGTGACCAGGATACAAGATTAGTGACAGGATAGAGACCCACAGCAAAACAGCTGCAGCCAACAACAAACGCCCACCTCTGAATGCAGTTTTATGAAGGTGGCTTCACTGCTTCCCAAATGAAAGAGAGTAACAAATGAAACACTAGCTCAGAAATTGTGGCTAACCACTCTTTCTTTGAAATGCTGTTGTCAAACTAGAATCTTCATGACTAGACATATTTCTGAAAAAAAAATCAGAAAGACGCTTGCAGGGAACGAATAAAAGCAAGTACAAAATACTGCTAAATAGTAATAGTTGGAAAACAAAAAGATCTAGTCACCACTCCACAAAGCCCAGTACACAGACAGGATCAGCCCAGCCCACTCCAAACCTCACCGCACCCGGCAGGGCTGAGGATAAGGCGACGAGGAGGGAGGGGGGGCAAGGAGAGCCCCGCGGGCGTGTGGGTACAGGATGGAAGCAGGTGACGTGTGGGGCGCTTCTCCCTCTGGCCTTCCCAGTGCCCCTGCCCCTGCCATGACTGCCTCAGGCAGATGTGAACCCGGCAGAGGAGGCAGAGGAGGGGCACTCTAACTCTACAAGTGCAACCTGTGAAGAAGGGACCTTTAGCAATAGTTTTTTAACCCCAAAGAATTAGCAAAGTCTTCAAAAGCAAAAGCAGAAAAATACTGCACCAGAACAGGAGAGTGCCCCGTTTATCTGGAAAGGCCCAGCAGTGGCGGAGAGACAATGCAGGGGCCGTGAAGGCCCCACCAGCACCCTCGGTTACACTGCGGGAGAAGGGCCCTCTCCAAGAAGTTGGGGGTTGTGCTGCCGCAAAGCGGAGGGGAGACCAGACCGCACTGGGGAGCCCGGTCACGGTCACGTCCAAGAACACTCTTCAGAAGCATATCTGTGTCTGGCTGCCTCTAAAAACTGGGGGATGTGTGTAACGTATTTGAAGGTGCTCGTTCCAGTTCCAGAAGGTCAAGTGCGGGCACGTGGAAAACCTGCCTGTGGCTATGCCCAGCCTGGCCTGCGGGTGAGAGGGTGGGGGCGGGGTGCAGCCCACTGCCCACGCCGCCCGAGCGTCTGAGTCAGCAGGCCTGGGGTGGGGCACAGGAACTGGCACTCTGAGTGAGTTTCCAGCTGATGGTGGCACCGTGACTAAAGAGTTTCTTTGTTCTGGAAAAAGTCAAATGGGGAGAGAGAGCCGCTCACATTTTAAAGAAACTGACTGACGTCATTTGGTCTAAAAGACTCTGCAAGGTGAGTTCTCAGAAAGATTAAGGAACCGTCCATGATGACCAAAACCAGCATTAATGCACCACTGCTTCTTCCATCCTCGAGTCACCGGTTCCTTAGCCAACAGCACCAGGGAACGGGGACCACCCACTGGGTCACCGGTTGCCCCTGGTCCTGACAAAACCGTGGGTCAGGGAAGGCGCTACAGCCCGCGGCGGCGTTAGGGGCGCTTGGGGGATTTAACAGGGAAGACACTGCCCCGCGCTCTCTGCACCCAGGCCACAGGACATGTCACACACCCGCTTCCTTAAACAAAGGGCACCACACAACGGTGTGAAGTGAGTGAGCACTACGCTGAGCCAGCACAAGACGGCCAGACGCACACGATACCTCGCCGAGCGTGCAGAGCTCCATGATGATCCAGACGGGGTTCTCCGTGATGACGCCGATCAGCTTCACGATGTGAGGGTGGTCGAACTGCCGCATGGTCACTAGGGGAGGAGAGCGCCTGCCTTACTGTCTCGACAGGGCCTTCAGCAATGAGGACGGCGCACCCCGTGTGTTCTGGGCCCAGACACCTGACTGAACTTGGTTGTACTTGGGTCAGAGACACAGGAGCAGGATGAAAGACACGCTCAGACACAACTAATGAAGTTACTCATTAAGGCACTGGCTGCCCTGCAGTCAGCGTTCCCAGAAGGGAGAGTAGAAGGCAGGCGGGGCGGTCGGGGTGCATGGGACAAAGGGCACGAGGTCCCTCTGCACACCGATGTCCACCGAGGGCCTTCCGTGAGCCAAACAGATGGGGTGCTGGTCCCCCACGGAGTGTGAAGTCTAGGCCTGGGGGGCAGGGAGGGAAGCACTCACTGGGGCGCAACACACTGTGAACTACTGCACTATGGACACTTAGGAAGGAGCGAACGTGGCCCCGAGACAACGTGTCCAGGGAGACGACCACGTCAGGTGAGAAGGGACAAGCCAGGAGGAAGGGAGGACCCCAGCTTAGGGGCGGGCGGGAAGGCGCTGGATGGGCACCAGCCAACAAGCAGGCCGCCGCCTCTCTGAGAGTCCGTGTTTGCAGAGTGACCCTCCCAGGCGGCTGCGTCGCGGGAGGCGGGAGCCTCGAGCAGAGGCGGGGACTCCACAGCAGGACCAGGGGACGGTCTGTCCCACTTACCTCCCAATTTCAGGGCCCGCAACATGTCTGGGAGGACCATTTCTGTGGCTGCCCAACTTCAGGGCCAAGGTGTTAATGGCACGAGGCACCAAAGGACAAAGGGACAGGAGATAACCCTACCTTCACACCCTGGACATCATGTCTCACCCAGGAAAATCTGCAGAGAGGGCCCCTCAGTACAGATGTCAGTTTGAAAAGCAGGACAATAAACACATAAATAGAGTGGTCTCACGAAAGTCAAAACAGTACTTTTCATCTTCAGAGAGAGAGTCTGGATTTCCCAGATAAAGTCCAATGTACTTGCACAGAAATTTCTAGAAACTTACAGGCTTCTTGAAGGAACTTCTCTCTCACGCTATCAGAAGTGCAGTTTTTACACGTTTTAATGGCAACCGCCAAAGCCGGGTTCTCCTGTTGGGAGAGACAGAGTCACACGCGTGCCACCGAGGCTCCCGGCAAGCCCCAGGGGCACGCTCAGGCCGGGCTGCTGCTCTGCAGCTCCGTGGACGCCGGGCCAGACAGAACCAGAGCTGTGAACCCTCAGGGTGGGAGGAACACGGAAAACACGAGGCCTGTCCAGAAGGTATCCAGCCACGTACTATGAAGAAAAGAGACATCTATCAGAGAAGATAGAAGATACAAGAAACACCGTACACAGGACAATGACACCTCGGTCCCCTTCAAAGTAGGCACCTTGGGACCTCACACAGTTCTCCCAGTCGCCATCAGCTGCCCTGCCATATTTTCCTGAATCTCATTGATGGTCGGAAATCTCTTTTCTTTCAAAGGTGATTTCAGTTTTGGGAAAAGCCAAAGGTCACAGGGCGCCACATCTGGTTGATTGGTAGAGGTTTGAATCAAGTCATTAGCAACTGCAGCTCGATGTTCCTTCCGCTCTGAGTGCGGAAGCCTTGGAACACATTTTGCCACGACGTATTTTGTGCCAAGGTCCTGTGTCAAAGTCTCCGACACGGTAGTTTTTGGACCCCCCAGATCAGCTCCTATGTCTCACTGGCTGTGTCTGATCTTTGTCGACTGCAGCCCGTGCACGTTCGACTCTCGGGGTCCTGCTTGTCACAGGCCTTCCAGAGCGTGGATCCCTTTCAACAGACTCTCGACCGTCTTTGAAGCGTCTGTGCCACACTTTTATTTGCACCAGACTCATTGAATTGTCCCCGAAAGCCTTCGGGGTCATCTGAATAGTTCCCGTGGAGGAATGTTCAAGCTTAACTCAAAATCCGATGCAGATTCGTTGCTCTACTTTGCAGGTGAGTCAACAGAGGCTGGACGATGAAGTGGCCCGCCCAAAGTCACCTGCTGGTGAGTGGCAGGCCCCTCTGTGCCAGGGCACACACCACCACGGTGTCTGTGGGCAGTGTACAGCGGGGCCAAGCAGCTTGGGGGGGGGGGGCCCACAGCTTGGTTCCACAGCAACCTCAGCTCCCCGCAGGGGTGGGGCTCTGAAAGGGGGCCCAGGTGAGTTTCTCAAGTGACACCAGAACATGCCAAGGTTTTCCGGAAAGTCCTGCTATGGAACTATGGGCAGCTGTCCACCAAAGACTCCCGCCTTAGATGGCAGAGGGGACGTGGGAGGACAAGTTTTCCCTCTGTCCCTCTGTGTCACAGTGCCCCAGGGTTCCATCCCGGGGTCACCTCCTGCAGTGCCAACAGCCTCGAGTCCCATCTCCGTTCTGACTTCCAGACTTCCCCTCTGGTCCCCACCTCTCCTTTCAGCCCGCACTCGCACGCCCAGCCTGCCCCTGCCCTGTCTTGACTAGGATGCAGCAGAAGCATTTTAAACTTGATGTGACCACAAGCCCCTGATGGCCCGCCATGATGACAAACACCCTGTGTGAGCTTGCCCGGGGCACGGGCCGCACTGCTGGCAGCCAGCATTCTTCTAGATGAACGCGACGTGTCTGTGGACGGACTGAGTGGACCTAAGTCCTCCCAGCGGGCTGGGCCTCGTCCACCCAGCTGAAGCCCTGACCTCCTGGAACAAGAGGGCAATCCTCTGGTCTGCCTGCCTTTGGGCCGGGACGCTGCTTCGTTCCAGCCTGTGGATTCCAATGACACCAAAGGCTACGCTGGTCCTCGGACCCTCGACTCAGACTGGAAGTGACAACAGCGCCAGCTCTCTGGGGTCTCGGGACTGCCAGCCTCCGCAACCCTGCGAGCCAGTCCCCAGTGACGCCTTGAGTGTCCCGGCGGCACCCTCTCTCTGGGGAGCACTGACGAACACCCCCTGTAACACCTGTTTCTCCCCCCGTCTCCACCGCAGCAAGCACACAGCCTGGCATGGCCACTCCAGGGGGACAAGCTGGAAATGCCCCTGCCTGTCCCCTGCCGTCATCTCCTGCGCACCCGGCCATACCTTGGGTGCCTCCCCAGCACAGGCGCCCAGGATCGGCCCGGCCCACCTCACTGCAATGCCCCCCTTCCCCGTTGGCACCACCCCAGGTGCCACAGGGCTCTCAGGACTCTGCTTCAGCCCTCCGACAGCTGCTGTTCCCATCACACTTAGAACGAGAGCCCACCCGCCACCAGGGCCCGCACACTGGAGAGGTTGGCTTGAAGGGGCTGCCCCTAAAAACCTGCAGAGAGGCAACCGTGTCTGTGTGGCTTCTCAAGAAAGAGTTTTTAGAAAAACCTCCTTAAAATGCAGGTGACATGTTGCAGGAGACAGAAGTTTCGATGCCACTAGGACTCTGGCAAGCGTGACTCGGTGGGTTGAGTGTCGTCCCACAGAACAAAAGGTCACTGGTTTGATTCCCAGTCGGCGTGTGTACGAGAGGCGGCCGATCGCGGTTGCTCTCCCTCTCGCTCCCCCTCCTTTACCCTCCCCCTACAGATAAACAAACAAAAGCTGTTAAAAAAGGAAGGGACACGCCGCTCTGGCGTCTACCCTGCCCAGGTGAAGACCAAGCTCGGGCACGCACTGCAGCAGCCGGCAGGCTTTGAAAGGCGCCAACAACACGTCCAGAGAGGCCCAGTCAGGGTGGGTTGTACGGAAACACACTTAAGAGCCCGATTTTCAAGGCCAGGGTCCAGATGGTGGAAGAGCGTGGGAGTGCCCTCAGCGGACAGCCAAGTGACAGACATCTGACGCCCAACAAAGGCAGAAGGCGCGCTGGCTGATGCCCTGCAGCCCGCCCTCACTGATGCGGAGGGAACTGAGTCCTGACCCCAGGGCCCACAGGCCTCCGCTCCTTGCCAGCCCACTGCCTCCCTGAGGCTTCCTGTCCCACACTTGTCCCCAAGGGGAGCTCTTTTGCTCCCTCCTCACTCCAGGTCTCCGCTCCGCCATCACGTTCCACAACCTTTCTGCCAGGCTCCTGGGCGGAGCGCTGTCCCTGTGTCCCTAAGTCAGGTGAAGCCAGGCCTGGGTTCTTTCTACCACATTCTGCCTCTGGGGGTACAGCCAAGAGAATCAGGAAGATGAGCGATGCAGCAAAAAACAACTGGAAAGAGTAAACAGCTAAAAATGTAAGAGTATAGGCTTTTAAAACTGAACTTTAAAACGAAACCTCTAACTTGTTTAGCGACAGGGTGGCAACTATCTGTTGCCCCCGAGCAAAACCCTTTGCAGCTCCTTGGCTATGAGAGGAGTGACCAGCCACCCCTGAAGCACAGGGCATGGATATGGCAAATGGACAGTGGCCGTTCCAGGAAGCACCCTGCAGTCCCCACAGCAGGGCACCGCCAAAAGGCTCCCGCCTGTGCTGCCACTGCTGCGTGAGTCACCTCCTCCGTCCCAGGTCTCTGGGGCAAGTGTGTGCTATGACTTTTAAATGTCGTTTAAAAGCCACTGACCCAACCACTGAACCCACAACCCAGGGGCGTGCCCTGGCCGGGGACGGAACCTGCAAACGTTTGGTGCACAGGACACTGCTGCAGCCCAGGAAGCCAGTGCTGCAGCGGCCCAGCAGAAGCCCTCACGGCCACGAGCAGGACCGGCCAGCCTGCTCCTGGACCTGAGCCCCAGGGAGCTGGAGACTGCGGACCGGAAACCGCGTGTGGATGCCCACAGCAGCATGGTCTGTGACAGCGCCCAAGTAGCGGTGACCGCAGGACCGCCGACAGGTGCGCCCACGCGCAGGCTGTCACTTGCAGACAAAGAGCAGAGGAGCTCCGCTGCTCGACACCACATGGGCGGAGCCCGCACTCCCAAAAGAGACAGCCGCCACAGGCCACACCTGCTGTGACCCCACCTGTGGGGGCTGTCCAGAGCAGGCCAGTTCCCAGGAGCAGGAAGCAGAGGAGTGGTCGCCGAGGGCCAGGGTCCCCCAGGGGTGCGTACTGCGCTAGGATGGGCTGCCGCCATCCACTGAGCCCACTGAGCCGCATGCGTGGCAGTCATGTGGTGACATGCCAGTCGCGTCAGCACAGCTGTCCTCAGCAAGTCCCTGTGAAGTGCACTTGTTGCTTCTGGAAGGCGACTGGGGGCAACTGATACCCTTTTCTTGTAGACGCAGGCTGGTGCAACAGTGGCTGCCTGCTGCCCACCCCGGCCGCCCATCAGGCAGCGCCACCCAGCGGGACGGTCCCCAGTGGGGTCTGTCTCCGGGACGAGGCAGACCTGCCCTCCAGGAGCAACTCTGCCGTCTCTTCATTTTGGAATGTATCACGGGAGGAGCTTAAAAGCGCCTTCTGCAGATCCCTTGGAGGATGAAGGACTTGACCAAGAGAAGCCAGAGGCACCCTGGCCGCTGACAGCCAACGGCACTGACCGGGGACTTACCGGGCCCACGTACACGCCTTGATGCACATCTCCGAACTGGCCTTCCCCGATGCAGCGCCCGAGCTCGATTCGCTCCCTCTGGATCTCATAGTCCCTGGCTGCAAGACAGGGTCCACACGTCAGGGAACCCGGCACCACCCCAGGTGTCGACGGGACACGTGGCACATTGCACCCGCTAACAAACCCCCACTAGTGGAAACTCCATCAGTGGCACAGCTGTCCACGGAACGCCTTAAGTGCAGTGGAACCTTCTCAGACAGCGCTTCACAGGGCACTTCCCCTACAGTGGGTGCCCAGACCTGAGTTCTGTTATGGGTCAGTCTTAAACGCTTCATGGGCTGATTTGGTTTATATTTCGATATGTGATACTTGTCTAAATAATTTCCCTAAGTACTAAGTTTTATGCTTAATTAATAAGTGATATTAGTTAAGGTATTAATATATAAAGGCTTAAAAAGTTATTTAAAGCAGTTATTTTACAAACAACTAAAGTTTATAAATATGGAGACAAAAAATGGGGACATGAGTAACTGTACGTTTTAAAAGTTTAAGGGTGTTCCACTTTATTTTAACCCTATGTTGATATTATTCATTGAGCTAAAAGAGTTTAAAGAGGTAGCTTCTAAAAATTAATTTCAAAACCAGACAATTTGGAATCAGGTTGTACGCATCACATGAATTATGAGCATTGTATATTTTTAGAGCGTGTGCCTGAAGTCAATGTACTAGATTGTCGGCGTCCACAGACCAAGGATTTATAGGCTGTTAAGGCACACGGAGAGAAATGCCCCCTAGGGACCTAGGGGGTCAGTTCCAGTCAACGCGCTCCCGGGTTTGGGCCCTTACAGCCCTCACTGCGCACGCTGGTGGTGTCATCACCAATGGGCTACGGCAGCAGCCAAGGAATTGCAAACGCTCACCCCGGTTTATCAAATTATAAGTCATGCAGACGATTCAACCCAGATTTTAGATAGCTGTTTCCCTCTTTAAAATCATTTTAGCTAGTAGTTCCACTGATTTAACAGCATGAATAAACCGATGAAAATAGTTTTAAAATAAAATTAACTGAAAACCGAAACACCCCGTATCATTCCACAGGTTGCAATTGCAAGCAAATGCAGTTATTTCAAAGGAGTCCTGTTACCTTCGTCTATTCCATAGCTTTCTGTGTTGCAATTAAAAGAGAAAAAACATCGAAGACTTTGCTTAGAATAACTAATAGCAGTTAGGTTAGCAACAATAAACTTGAAGAGTACATTTCAATAACATGCGCTCTGTCAAACGTTCTGGCCGGTACGTGAGGACTGAGAGAGGACGAGACACAAGCACAGGCCACGCTGCCTGTGGCCCGCCAGCTCTGTATTGGGGACAGAGCTCTCCCGCTGCCACAGGCCTCCCTGGGGGCTCGTCTCTGTGGGTCCGGGGAGAGTGGGCAGTGCTGCCCAGCTCTGAACCATGAACACACAACTGAAAGTCGGGCTTTTCTGCAGGTACAAAGGACTCAAAGGCGAACCAAAACAGAGCCTCTCCCCAAACTGCCACTGCAAGTCAGACTACACACGGAAGCTGGGGCTCGGGCCTCCGTCTGGAGTCCCCTCTGATAAGGCAGGAGCTCTGGAGGGGCGGGGCCGTGCAGTGCCCAACTCGGCAGGCGGGCGGTTTCCCTCCACTTTCTAACAGCTCCTCCAGGTACACAGCACACCTAAATGCAGGCCCCTCTCAAGATCTCCACACAGCAGAGGAGCGCCCCAGACACTTGCATCACACACGTCCCTCTGCGGGAGGCAGGACTTCAACTGCCAGATTACTAGGGCTGCTGAGGCTACAAGGTGGGGTCACAATGGGGCCTCTTTAAGGGGTAGGTCTGCAGTTGTTTAAAAGTGAATGACATTTCAAGGGCCTCTCCAATTCAAGATCTGGGACCACACACGGCAACGGAAGGTCCTGGGCCTCCCGCTTCTCCTCTGTCAACAAGCAGCAGAGAGATGCAGGGCACCGACCTCTCCAGGGCAGGAAGGTCAGTAGGAAGGTCAGCGCCCACGCCTCCCACCCGCCGGCTGCTCTGCTGGATTAGGGAAGCTCTTTATAATTGGTGAGTCAAAGGCAATAGAGAAGAACCTTTCAAAGAGGAAGCACACCAGTATACACATGCAAAGAATAAATAAAGATGAGCACGTATTTAACTTTATATAACACTCGTTTTCCACAAAGAGGAAATAGATCAGTAAAGGTTACACTATCACAGAACCAGAAAGCAAGATGAGAAAGGGCCCGCAACTAAACTGACGGGCAGACAGGTGCGGTTTGGGGCACACAAAATGCAGAATTCTGAAAGGTGGGATGAGTACGTGTTAAGCACTCCGTGAGGTTTCAAGGACAGCTCTACAAGGACGAGCGTCTGAAGCTCTCAACGCAAACTGCTCACAGGTCCCCGCAGCCAGGCTCGAGCCAGAGCAGCCTGCGCGTACTCACTGGAGGGCATGGTGTACGCCTCATCCTCGTCCACGATCTCCGCGTAGTCGTCCGTCTCTGCAGGAGAGGGAGCAGGTGTGTTGAAGAGGTTAAACATTTGACCTCCCGGCCAGTAATACAACTTGAAAAGGCAAAGCGGCCTGCCTAAATCCCCTACCATGCTGTCCTGTTCCTCGGTTTTTGCTCACATGAGTTGCTCACGGAGCTAAAAGTGACATCATGGCCCCCTGTGTTAAAGACACAGGGCTGTGTCTCAGCTGCAGTCAGAGCTGAGACAGGGAGCCCTTGTAAAAGACAGAAAGGCATGACTCTACAGTGCCCGTGACCCCCACCCGCCCTGTCCTGCCCACGGCCCCGCAGCCGCAGCTGACAAAGTGAAAACCACACTGCTGTCTCCCGCGTCTGCGCCCCGGCCGGGGCGCGCGCACAGCACCTGATGCTGCTCGTGGACTCTGCAGCGCCGTCCGAACGCTTTCCTTGGGGGAAACAGAAATGACAGCCGATTTCCGGGGAGACTGACTGGGCTCACTGAGCCACCTTCTCAGGCTGAAGGCCACCCCAAGCTTTACCTCTAACGCCTCCTCTCCCAGACGTCTGAAGGGCACACACCAACACTGAAGGGCACCAGCCCCGCTGGAAAGGATGCAGTGACAGCAGACAGAGCTCAGAGACCAGCTCTTCTGAGATGTGCACCAGGGGCCCTGGAGCCCCACAGACTCCTTCCCAGGACACAGAGACTTGAAAGCCCACCCCCAGTTACAGGGGGGACCACACGAAGAAAACCAGTGCACGCTGGTAGCAGTCACGCTGGAGGCTCTGGAAAGAGAAGAGCCTCTGGCTGCTTCACATGTGAGGGTTCCAGCTGCCGCTGGGCCAGGAGAAGAAGGGGCGGTCCTTCCGGAAGGGCTGCCTGAAGGAGCTCTAGTTTGCAGATTCGACCTGCCGTCGCCAGAAACCCCACAGACACAAGCTGAAAGTTCTTTCTTTTGCGATGCTATTATTACTTTGTTGAGATATTAAAATTATAGGAACCAAAGAAAATCAAGACCCTATACAGTTTACACTCTCTAGGGCAGGGGTGTCCAACCTGGGGCTCAACACGGAACTGTAAATTTACTTAAAGTGTGAGATTTTTTGTGATTACATGTCTCAGTGCATTTGATGTGTGGCCCAAGGCAAGCCGTCTTCTTCCGTGTGGCCCAGCAACACCGTGGGGCTGGGCACCCCAGCAGGGGGTCAGTCACCCCGGATGTTTGGTGCAGATGAGGCTATGGTAACGGCCGAGCACAAACCTGAGAGTTCCAGGAGAGTGCGTGTCTTGCTTTGCACCCATCATTACAAGTTATTAAAGTAAAACAAGAAAAGTTTAACCAGCAGAATGCACAGCTGATAAACCAATTCTCTTTAGGCCATTCAGCAAATATAAGCTATTCGGAAGTCCTGTATACGGGTAGATAATCCGTATTATTCTTACACGTCCAACCCCAATCCTAACACTACAGATGGGACTGAAGAAAAAATTAATGTACCCAAACCTCACATCCTTCCTCTCCTCTGCTCCTCCCTCTTGCCTGTGCTCAGTGAGCACTCGGACCAGCAAACTGCCGTGGGCCAGGCCTGCACACTTGCTTTTGCACGAGAAGGCTGAATGCGAGACCCCATGAGACGGATGCGGGACAGAAGGGAGCCAGCCACTCAGGACATGGTGCGGGAAACCCACTCTCAGGGCTAAGATGAGGGAGAGGCAGCACAAGGCTCCTAGAGAGCAGAGGCCCACCTGCCAGTCCCTCCTCTTACCCTGGCACTCCGCAGGCCCGGCTCCAGGCCACTCCTGGCAGAAGGCTGCTGCGGCCCAGCTGCCCTTCCTGCCTGCTCTGCCCCAGAGTACGGGCCTTCCCCCAGAAAAAGGCCCCGGCTGACCCGAGGGGCAACTCGCTGGCCTGAGAGCTGCTCAGACGCCCGCCTCTGCTGCCCACACCCAGCTGCCGCTGCCCGAGCCTCTTTTGGAGACAGCCTCTGCGCTCAGCCCTGCGCTGCGTGAAGAGGTCACAGCTCAGTCCTACGCTCAGCCACCCCCCTCCCAACCACCCTGGGGGCACAGACGTCCACCTGAGCCCGACAGGAGAAGCGTGCTCCTGCACCTGAGAGCTCTGCAGGCCCCTGCTCACGCTGGCTGGGAGCAGAGCCTGCCCTGGGCCAGGCCCCTCTTCCGCCCACCCCGTCACCCTTCACCACGCCGCCTACTTCATCTCCTCGGTGCCCATGACTACCAACCACCTCACTGTCCTTTGCTCCTTGTCAACAGCTGGCCCCTCCAGAACAAAGTTCCCCGGGGAAGTGGAGCCTCACGTCTTGCTGACCCTAAGTTCTCAGCCCCTAAACAGCGCCCTGCACAGAGAAGACACTCGGGAAATGCCTGCACAACATCAAGAACCGATGTATTGTCGTGTGTGACCCTGAACCTGGGACAGAAGAGCCAGGCAGCCTGCGTGGGGCCACGTGGAGGGTGCCGGGCAGCGCGGCACCACTGGGGGGACAAGGCACACACCACACAGCTGGGGTCCCCAGCCCGACCTTCATCTGTCTCTGCCTCGGTTGCACCCTCAGAGGTACCTACCGAGAGAAACCCGCCCCGAGGGCTGCTCCAGGATGGCCAGAGAGGCTGAGGTGAGAGCGGCCCTGCTGAACGTGTCCAGGCTCGGCCGCCTCAGCTCCTGGAGGGCACCGCAGCCAGGGGCGCGGCCGCCTCTTTACATAAATCCCTCCGTGGGGACACCAGCACCAAAGGAGCGGGACTCCTAACAGCTACTCGCTGTCAGGCCGCACACAGGCCTGGGCACCACCGGACCCATCTGCAGTGACTGGGAAGAGCCAGCTTGGCCTCCAGGCTGCCTGTGTATGAGCTCCATGACCCCAGGGGCGGGCCAGGCTCTCCAGGAACTGTCCTGTGATGTCTGCGCTGTGCGGGCTGTGCTGAGGTCCTCCGTGGGCGTCCCAGCTGCTGCAGGTACATGGTGACTTGGACCTGACCATCACCTTTTTCGCGGGTGTCTTTGCGCGGCCTTTGTGACACTGACCTGCTCCCACTGCTGGCGTCCTTCCTGGCTGTGTGGCTCTGACCAGAGAGCCAAGTTTGAAGGCTCGGGGCCCTGAGACACAGCAGCCCTGCCTGAGACTGCCTGGCCTCCCAAGCAGGGGCCAGATGACAGACCCAAACGAGGGGCATGTGTGCAAGACCCCCTGGTGACAGCCATGACATGCCTGAGAGCTTCCAGATGCCACCATGGAGACACATGGTGACAGACACTGTCCTCTGATCCTCAGAAAGGCTGCTCTCATTACCCTGTCACAGGCAGGCCACCGAGGCACCGAGGACATGGAAGTGTCTTGGGTCCCCAAGAGGGTCAGCAGCAGGCTGGAAACAGAGCGGCACGCTGACGCACAGCCGCCGGGACATTTCCCTGCTGAGGGCACTGCCACTTCCAAGACGGGACTGTCCTCGGGGATGTCCAGCACCTCCCGCTCACGGGCACAGCGCCACTCGGGGTGGCTCACAGGGAGGCGCGCTGGGGCCCATGGGCCGTGAGCTGGCCAGGAGGCTTCCGAAACCCAACAACCTTAGAACCTGAAAGGCCCGGTACCAGCACACGTGGTAAAGGGAAAGTGACACAAAGACGTGTGAAAAGGACAGAAGCCGAGAGCTGGGCGACCCTCAGAGAGAGCACTCGGGTCTCCTTCTGAAGCAGAGCGGGGGAGCCGCGGGGAGGCCAGCACTCCCCACAGCGACCCACAGAACGAGACTGACGCCCTGGGCCCCCCCCCCCCCCGGTGCGGCGGCCTGCCGCTCCTCCCACGGGAGAGGCGATTCTGTCACCATGCCCCTCTGTTTGCCTGGCAGGAACGGTGGCCTTTACCCCTGGTGGCACTTGTGTTGGCTTGGACACCCGCAATTCTGATGACCTGCTTCCCAATGGGCCTCCTTGCTGCCCTCAGGAAGTGTGGCTGAGTCCTCAGCGCCACGTGGCGACACCTGCAGTGACCGCACCATGTGGGCTGTTCAGGGGCGCAGACCGGCTCCACAGCGCCCGGGCCGTCTTGGGGCCCAGAAGTGCCCCACCCCCGTCTGCCAGCTCCACGGCCCAGGCCCGGGGCAGTGAGCGCCTGCAAAGGTGGACAGTGAGTGCCGGAGCCAGAGCCGGAGCCACTCACTCAGTCTCCGCCCACACGCTCACCTCCACGGTGCGCAGGCGCGCGCGAGCACACACACACACACACACACACACACACACACACACACACGGTGGGGAAGAACCATGGCCAGGGAGTGGCCAGAGGGGTGGCCGTGCTCCAATGAAACTGGACTTGGGGTCACTGACAATCGACATTCGTGTAGTTTTGATGACAAGTACTATTCTACTTCCGTCTCTCCCTCTAATGGTTAGAAAAACCTAAGAATCACTCTTCGCTCAAGGGGCAATGTAAGAAGAGCCGTGGGCTGTGCCTGGCCCACAGGTCCCCGACCGGGACTAAGGGGGCGAAGGCTGGGGGCCTGGTGTGGCTGTCCATGGGATGCGGGGTGGGCGGGGTGGGGGTCAGACGTGGGGCGAGTACGGGGAAGCACCCCTCCACACGGTGGGTGGCACTTTCACTGGAACCCTCCCGGTGACCGGGGAGATCTGCACAGGGGAAGCCACAGGGGACAAGCACTCGCTCCAGGCCACCCTGTGTCTGCTGATGACAGGACAGGCAGAGGGAAAGGTGGGCAGCCTAAGGCCCGGCTGGCCGCTCGTCCCCTGGCGGCCGAGGACACTACTCGCAACACGGTGAATCTCTGCGCACGAGGAACTGGCCGTGAACAGGAGCAGCCGGTGCGGTCCTCGAGAGGAGTCAGTCCATGGGAAGTGAGCCTAGCTCTCAGGCCGTGTGTCCCGTGGAGGCGACACACTTTCCGAAGCCGCAGAGGGAAGAACTTTCACAGCAGGTGCTAGGTTTGTCACGCCCCAGCCCCCACCCCATTGCCAACGAGCCGTCTCCCACTGCAGCAGGAGGGAGGGCGCACCCCCTCAGTCTCAGTTCACGAGCTCCAACTCCTTCGGTAGAAAAGAGGACCACGCCGCCGGTAGGCTGTGCCCAAAGCCGGCGAGGGACACGAGGCGCTCACTGCGGCTTCTCCATTTCCAGGTTGTTGAGTGCTGTCCTCAAGGGCTGGAAACCACCATGCCCTCCAGAGCTGACACTCCCGGTTCCTTGGTCTGAGTGACTCTCAAGAGCCACTTCCCCCAGGGCCTCCCCCCAAGCCAGACTCTCCCAGACATGTGCTGGGGGCAAGGGCCCCGGTCACCCTTGGTCACTGCTCCCACTCCCGGGACCAAGCTGTTGCTCTCTCGCAGCTCTGGTTTGAGCAATGAAACCCAGAAAGTCCACACCTGTGTGGCACTTCCCAGCACCACGGAGCCACGAGGAAGAGACCCAGTCACCCCTCCCATGTCTGAGCCCCAAACAGCTTCCACGAGACCACGTGTCCAGGCCGTCATTTCCCACATGGTTCTGTGGCACCAGGACCACGCTCTGCCTTTCACCCAGGGCTGAACGACATTTACATCAATCAGTAACTATCGCACATTAGTAACAGGAATGTGAAAATGAATATTACCGTCCCCACTAATTTCATCTGCAGATCCGGGTGGCATGCAAAGAAAGGGGGAGGAGAGGCAGGGGGAGGGGGAGGGAAGGCGGGGAGAGAGGGAAAACACTATTAAAATGACAAGTAAATCAAAGTGTAAGGAAAACAAAAAAACTACCCCCCAGGTCCACTCCCAGAGACGACAGACGGGCAGTAAGTGTGTCTCCCCGGCTGACGGCGCGCGCGCACCTCGTGCTAAGCTGCCAGCACACGTACTACACAAAGTCACACAGAAGTGCCAGAGAATCTGTCGGTTCCCACCACACTCAACAAAGTGCACCGCTCTGCCTCTCACAATTCAGTGTTAAATGGCTTCCACCCCTCCGAGGGCATTTGGCCCCTTCCAGACAGAAACGAGAACATGCAGGCACCAGTGTGACCACTGACTGCTGAGCGGGGCCCGGCCCGGCGGGCTCCTCGGTGAGGAGGCCGGCACTCGAAGCTGCGTTCACAAGTCGAGTTTCCGTTCACACTCATACGGGGCTTGGAGAAATTCCAGGTCCGTTACTGCAAATCTGCTTTCCTGGAAATCGCTCCAAGGGGCCAGGCTGCCCCTGAGCGGCTGCTCCCGGCGACGCCCTTTCGTCTGGCGGCACGCTCCATCAGAAAACCCGCAGTGCAGACGCGGGCGCCCGCCGGCCCTGCGCCACACCACTGACCCCGAGGATGGAACCAGAAGCCCCTTCTCGCCCTGCCATGCAAGTGCACGTCAGCCAGCAGGCAAACGAAGACCCTTCTGTCAACGGAGCAGCCCAAAGACCCTCGCACGGACCCTCGCCCCCAGGGTGCCGCTGGTGCAGGCAGCACAGACACGGGTGCCCGTGCGGGTGTGCTCTCTGCCCAGGGCCGTCTACAAGCATTGGGTCAGACCCAGGGCCCGGGCGCTGCGTTAGTCAGACCCTGCGCCAATGTGAGTGCAGTACCCGTAGCAGGTTCGTGGGAACAGAAGACCAAAGGGAGAAAGCGTCTAGCTTTCTTAACCTTATGCTGGCAGTGACCGACTCCTTTATAAAGAGGCGGGAGGAAAGAGAAAAACAGAAACATTATTTCAATACAAAGGAAACGTAAAGTACATTTTAAGGCATAGCTATTAAAACACAAAATTACAATACTTTGACTATTAACACATAATTTCTTACTACGATTGACTTGGGTTTTAAAAACCATTAGTATTTTAAAGTGTGACTTCCTCTTTTAGCAAAGATTAGCATTAGACACAGAAACTTCAGCAAGGCCTAAGCAGAGTCTCGCAGCTCTGCGGAGCTAGCCAAGCGAGGGGACAGATGGCTTTACAAACAATGAAACAAACAAAATGAAACAAGACAAAACAAAATAACCACCAGTAATAACTCCAGATTCTCACGGCCATTAACCTTCGGCCGCAGGAACCCACTGCAGAGGACGGCCATGGCGACGGCTGCCATGGCGACGGCTGCTTCGAGAGTGAACATCAGGAGCCGCCTCCCCGAGCCGCCAGCGGAGACGGCCCTGCAGACCGTGGGTACGCACCGTGGGCGGGTCACTCTACACAGGGCACTGACTGCTCACACGGCCGTCTGAGTGCACGGGCCACAAAGCCCAGTGTCCACGGTGTCGCTTTGCCCCTGCTCCCTCATTTGCACACCCAGAGCTCACCTGCCAGTCAACCATCTCCACGGCGAGTGCCCGGGCCAACGAGACACGCCTGGGCCCTCCAGGGGCTCGGAGCACAGCGAGACCCACAGACGGGAAACAACCAAATGTGGCAGGCACCAGTGACATGGCACAGCGAAGTGAGACACGTGACGTGAGAGACACAGGGGGCGTGAAGGTTGAACTGCAGACCCACGGGGACCCATCGAGAACAACAGGGATGTGGGGTGCGGGCCCAGGGACATCGTCCACACACCGGCAGAAACGAGGAGGGGACTGTCTGTGGCAGCATCAGGGCACGAGGGGTGGGCCCAAGTGCGTTGTCCCTAGTGGGCTGGCGCTCGTCCTGTGATCTCAGTCACTCACGCCAGGAGGCACGGTCTCTGGGGCCAGGCCCCTCGGTCTGGTCCCTCCCTCAGATGTTAGGGCTTAGTGCTGCAGATGGTCAACTTGGTCTGAGCCCCGAGTTCTCCGTCAACACTCCTTCTGGCAAATCATCCAACCTGGGGTGCTCCTGGGAATCCCCCGCCCTCAACAGTGCTAAAAATCCATGAATTCCTAAGGAGGCTCAAAAGCGAAAACCCCACAGAACGACATCATCTGGGGAGGAAGGCAACCGCCGTTTCAGAGACCGGTGAGGGACGGAGAGAGCACAAGGCCCTCTTCCAGCAGGGCCCCCTCAGGGCAGTGAGCAGCTGAGGAGGGCCGCTTTCTTTGGAAGGGCCGCAGCTGAACAACCGCCACAGGAACCGCACGGCCCAGGCTGCAGGCCCAGGCTGCAGGCCCAGGGAGATGGAGGCCGCAGACCACCACACCCACTGCTTGGCCTGAGGGTCACAGGGAGTGACCGGCAGGGGCAGGCCCGTCAGCACTTAGGGTGCTGTCTTGCAGAGAGAGCCACTGGGCCCGGCTGGCCTGCTCTTCCTGTGGGCCTGACCCCAGCTCAGAGGAGACGCAGGAGGGAGGGTCCCGAGAGGCACGCATCCCACTGGACATCACAGGGCCAGCGCCCGCCAGACCCGGAGCTGGGGCAGACCAGCGGGACATCATTCCTTCAACAGGAAATGTGCAATCAGGAAACAAAAAAAGGAGGCCTAGTGGGCAGGGCCGGGAGGACAGGAGGGCTGCCAGCCAGGCTCCAGCACTGCCGCTGGTCTGATGCCGGGGCCAGAGCCCGTGCGAGAGAGTCTGTGTTCTAGAAACCTCTATAGATGAAATATGCCTTGGATGCTTTACACACCCACTGGGGACTCCGTAAGTGGGTGCAGGCAGAGAAGAGACATACTGGCCACAGTTTTTAGCACCTGAATCTGGGCAAGGAGCACTGGGGGGATCATCCTACAATTCTAACCTCTCTGCCTCTGAGTATGTCTGAAATTTCCCATGGGGAAAAAAAGCTTAAAAAATTAAACATTCCAAAGCATAACAATATGCACATGTTCACACGGTTTCCTGCTTGTAGAAACATCAGCTGTGGTTTTTGCCTTAGCTCCTGAAAGCTGACCTCACTGAACCCCGTGGCTGTTGTGCGGCCGCAGCTGCGGACCAGGGCGGAGGAACCTGCATCCGAAGTCCAGAGTCTGTGTCTTAAAAGTCTCCAGCCTGCCTTTAAAACCTGTCTCTGAAGAAGACAAACAGTGGGGCCTTCTGACGTGAGCAGTGTTTGTTTCTGTGCTTACGAGATGACACTTAGCTGCTCACAGCTTAGTAACTAAGTTTCAAAGGACCATTCGAGTTTACTCAAGCGGTGTCCTGACCCGAGCCACAGCCCTCCTGTGACCGTGCCAACATGCCCCGTGTCACACACGCTGGCCTCTCAGTGCCCAGTTCTCCCCGAGCTCTGCAGCAAGCACCAGTTTCCCGAAGCAACACTTACTAACTGGGCTCACAGACCCTAGTCCTGGCCTTGGAATAACGTGCTCAGGGGAGCACACTGCTCTGTTACCCGTTTTTATAAAGCTGTCCGCCTTACTCCTCTTTATCGAGAAGCTCCCTCAGTCTCCAAGGTAACCCCCATGTGTTCAGCATCGGCCGTGCCCGTCTCACGGAGGAAGAGCGAAGGACACCTTTCCCTGCAGTGAGATGCGCGTGGGCCTGCTGCCTTGTCTCCTGCACACAAGGACGGTGCGTTACATCCCAGCCGGGGCCCGCCAACAGCTGGGTCCACCGAGAGCCTCCACACCCTGGCCTGCAACCACCTGGAAGATGTCCGGAGCGATGTGCAGTAACTGGCCCCTGGGGACCGGTCTGGGGGACAAGCGAGTCCCAGTGCCGCTGCCAGTTCTGCATGTCCCGGCCTTTCTGCCGTGCCCTCCGCCTGGAGGCTTCCCTCTCAGCCCCTGCAAAGACAGCAGGGTGCACTGGCCGCCCTGCGGACCGCCTGGCCCACGGCACCATCCACCAGTACCAGCTCCGCCCTGTCAGGCAGTGCTCAGAGACTCCCGAAGCCACAGGACTCGACACGTCTGTCACATGCACCACTGTTCCCGAGAATGTCTTCACCAAGCGTGTCAACAGGAGCACAAATATTTCTGAGAAGAGTGCAAGGGTTTGTGAGTGATAAAATAAGAGTGAGCAACGCACCATTTGTACGCTGGAAAACAAAGAGAGCCCAGTCAGCACGCAGGCAAAGGCACAGACCTGAACTTTGGGAAAAATTAACTCTGGAACCAAACTAGCAGGAATTCGGCTTCTTCCAAGTCAGACCATCAGATGCCAGGCTACGAGGAAGCTATCTCTTACTTCAGAAATGTAACACATACCTAAGAACAGGTCACACGTGTGTGCACACAAATACATGTGTATATCCGTGTATGTATACGTATGTTACATATATTTTCAGACATCAAACTTGGGTCCATGGAAGATGCTTCCCTTTTTATCCTCCTTCCTCTTTTCACATTTTTCATGGAAAAAGACACATATTTCAAAAACACACCAGGAAAAGTACACCACACTCATCATGCCAACAAGTAGTTAAGATAATGCTTATGCCAAAATCTTAACTATATTTTTAAAAATATTCAAACATCATTTTATGTTAATTGTGAAAGACAAAAGCCATTTAAAATGTTCCACATATCCTGAACTTCAAAAAACAACGAACAAAGTATATTCTGTTAAATTCTGCTGAATTGCGAAGATAAATTATAGTGGGAATTCCAAAAGCAAAAGGACCACTAACCGAGGACCTACGACCACTAACGTGAGGGTGAGGCCTGAAAGACAGCCTGGAACTCCACGTGAGGGTGGGAGGGACCTGGGACGGCACCAGTGCGCCCCAGCGACAGTCCCTGAGCCGCACTGACCCCGTGACCGCTGTGACAGTCTGCGGCTGCGCACTCAGAACGCCTGCCTTCTCTAAGCTGTCGAGAAAGCCGTCGCAAGGAGCCGGCCAACGGCCGCCCCACACCCTTACCTGACACGGAGACCGCGTGTGTCCGCACGCCCTGCTTCTCGCTGTTGGCCAGCCTGCAACAGAGAGGGCATCGCGTGAACGCCGCGCTCAGGGCCGAGCCACCTCCATTTCCAGTGGGGGCTCACATTCCACAGGGCAGAGCTTTTCAAAAACTGGATTCTACTACCCGAACCCTTAGAACCGCCAGCCTGCGCTCACGTGAAGAGCGGAGATTCAGACAGACGACTGCGGGAGCGCTGCACCGCTTCTGGAAAGCGACTGGTGACAGCGCCTTTCCACACTGCAGTGGAAGTGCACCCCGGGACTCGACCCGGGACACTGCTGCAGGACGGCCGCCCAGACTCGGGGCACCAGACAGCACTGCCACCGGGCCGCTGCGCGCATCTGGCCACTCGTCACGTGAGATGGCTCGGCAACATGCATGTTGTAAGTTTTATACACATAAAATAAAAGTTTGGCCAAAGGTTTTAGCAACATTTATAAAAGGATGTTTCGATTCAAAATTTTTGGAAAACACATAGAATAAAGAAGTCCTATAGTCTTTAGATATCAAAGTTATGTCTACCTTTTTATAAAAGAAAACTTTTAACAGACACGTAAGCATTTACTATCTAAGTGCTAAGTAAAATTCTTCCTAGTACATAGAATTTAAACTAGGAAATACTGAAACATAAGACACTGTATCATTTTTGAGAAGTAGAAATAGTTCACATGCAACTGTAAAACCTTTATGATTAGAGCATAAAGCCATAGAATTGGGTTCCTTTAACTGAATTCTCCATCGAAATTACCTTTTAATAAAAGTTTAACCAAAGCTGTCCCTGACCAACCGCGTACCGCACGGTCGCACCGCACCTCTGAATGGGAACCACACTCACTGTGAAGATGCTGGGTGCCCAGCCCGAAGGCCTCGCCCTCCTCCCCCACGTTCTGGCACCCAAACCCAGAGCCCCACGCCCCCAGCACCTCTGTCTGCCGTGGGTGTCAGCTCCCTCACACCTGCCTGGGCCGCCCCAGGCTCCTGGTCAGTGGCGGTGGCCGGGGCTGCCGCTGTACAGTGTAAAATTTGCTTTATTAAATCACTCAGGTTTTCCAGTACCTGTGACTGCGTCTAGCCTACTGCCCTCTTCACTCCCGTCTCTATCTGTGATTCCTGTATGTCTCACTCCTCAAAGTCACCCCTTAAAGACTTCTCACAGTTGTCGACATCCCTCACGCTAGTCCCTGGCTGGACGAGGGACGTTAATAAGTATCTATTAGAAGTACTGTGGAGTGTCTGAAGCACACAGCCTAGAGCTATGAGGGAGCCAGCACCCCCCAGCCCTCTGCTCACCCACACACCTACTGTGTGCCTGCTGTGCACCAGATGCTGCCTGGCGTTCTCCAGGTGGAGAACACCAACGAGCCTGGCCTTCTGCAGGGCTGGGGGGGGGCGCGGACAAGCAAAGAGGTCACTGGCAAAGTGTGAGAAGCACTCTGGTGAAGTGGAGTATGTCACGGGAACACACACAGGGATGCTCCCAGGACGGGCAGAGGATGGTCACGGGAGGTTTGCAGAGGAAGTGCTGTAGGGTGAGACCCACAGGGCAGTCAGGGTGGCCGAGGGTGGGGCTGAAGGGAGCAAGAGGACGGTGGACTCCAGGGACCGAAAGTCCAGTGCAGCTGAAGGACAGAGCACGGGCAGCGGTGACACAAGGACAGAGGCGCCAGAAGGAAGAGGACCACACAGGCCCTCCAGCAGGCACCTGGACTCTGGCACTGACCCCTGCACAGCGGTCGTGCGGAGGGTTCAGTGAGGGGCGCCACTCTTGCTGCAGATCTGAGGGTGGGCAGGGCGAGGGCACGGCTGGGCAGCAATGGGCAGGAGGGCGGAGGACAGGTGACCCTGCAGGCCTGAGCCTGCTGACCCTGGAGGCGGCTCCTGGTGGGGCCAGGGCCCTGGGTCTGAGGAGGGCTTGCAGCACCGCCCGCCCCCCCCCCCCGTAAGGGGAGGGCACAACTGCTGCGCCCAGGCCATCTGCACAGACCGCTTGGTCCAGACGGAGCTCCTGTCTTCCCTCTGGGAGTCTGACCCGGGACAGGCAGAGAGAGAGCTTGTGTCGGGGCCCGTGAAATAAGCGTCCTGGGTGGACAGCCCCACACTGGTTCTCACAACTCAGCACCAAGGAAGGGGCGGTCCTGCCCGAGGCAGCGGAGAGGGCTCTCGGGGCCTCCCTGCCTCCTCTGGACGCCTCCCCCTTGCCGGCCACATAGCACAGCCGTGGGTGTGACCACATCACGAGTCCTTTCTCAGAGAGTCAGTCATGAAACCTGGAGCGGTCTTGGGGACCCCTATGCAGGAGTCCACCAGTGCAGCCCAGACAGAAGACAGACAGCAGCTAAAGTCAGGAGGGACCATGGGAAAGGGGAGCAGTGGACGGATCTGATGGATCTGAGGAGCCGGCTGGAGGAACTGGTGAGGGACTGGCATGCCGACATCGGGGGTGGAGGGAAGACGATGCCTGGGTCTCCCTCCCCTCCTCATCCCAGCACCTCCCAGGTGAAGGGCACCACCGCAGCTGCCCAGGACTCTGCCCAAGCCTCCCTCTGAGCCCTCAGCCCACAGGGAACCGCCTGCTGACCCACATGCTGAATCTGTCCTCTGGTCCGCAGCTCCCAGCATGCTGGCTGAGAGACACGTTGTTACATGAGTGCTTTTGGCATGACTATCGCTCTCAAAATTTTACAGATCAACCCACAGGCCGTGAAATTAATGACATGGACAAGTAGAAGAGTTAATACGAACTACTTTCAGAATTCCTAACTGTCTCACTGCAGAGCAGCCAGAAGGGCGCTCAAGTTCAGGCCGGTGTGCAGCGGGCAATGGATGAGAGGTGAGAGCAGCCGCCCCCGGCACCTCCCCACGCCTGCGCCCCAGGCTCCTGCTGAACGGAAACGGAAGGGGTAGTGCCGTTTGGGGTTCGTGATTGAACCCAACCCTGTGGCGTGATTTCTTTCTGGAAGCACGTGCTCTAGCTCCCTACCGGGCGTGCGGCACCCGGCTGCTCAGGCAAAGGGCCACGCACGTGGCCACGGCTTCCGCAGCTTCTGGCACAAGTGAGTGACAACAGGCGCGGAGCGGCACTTACTTCGGTATGGACGGCAGAGCCCGTTCGCCTTCTGGGGAGAGAAAGAAGAGAGTGGTGAGGCTCCACTTGCCCTGGTGGAGGATGCTGTGCGGGGCGGGCCCCTCCCCCAGCTCAGCGTGGCCCGGCTGAGGGAGTCAGCACACCGGCCACCCTCCGCGCCAGCTGTACTCCTAGGACCCGTAACAGGCAGACACTGGCTGCCGGTGAGTGAGGTGTGAAAGGTGCTGCCCAATCAGAGCAAAGTGTGGAGGTGGCACAACGATGAAAGGTGACTTCCCAGGAGGCGCCTTTCAGTCGAAGGCCTGAAGCCCCTCTGTGCCCGGGGACCAGTGGGCCTGCAGAGCAGAGACCGGAAGGGGCCCTGGTGGAGTAGCCCTCTCCCCACGGCCGCCTCCCTCCATCGACGGTGAAGCTCAGAGCCTGGTCTCTGGTTGGGAAGACTCTCCCCTTCTCTGTGCAGCAGGAAGCCTGGGGCCCGGCTCCATCTCTTTTGTCCTGAGCAGTGGGTGCAGACCCTACCTGACCTTGTCCCCTACGCCATCCCTGAGCCACATCACTACCAGAACAATCCCCCCAGAACCAATTCATCAACCTATTTCCCTGCTTACGATTGCGCTTTCAACAGTGTGTTGCGTAAGATAAGCACCTCAGTTTACCCCCAAAACAATGCTCTGTCCACCCTCTTTAGGGTGTGTGTGGGCGGGGGTCGGGGGTACAGACAGGCAGGTGCCCATCTACTAGGGGTCTCTGATCCCTTCCCAGGCAGCTCCTGGGCAGCACCCTGGGCGACTGTCACTCAAGCTGTCTGCCCACAGCTCCTCTCTTTGCATTTGCCCTTGAACTTGGGGCCATCAATTCTCTACTCTCCAGACCACAGGCCCATTCTCCGCATTCCCCAACTCTATGGATGCTCACCATCAAAATGCTCACGTTTCTAACAGCATGCCAACAACCCAGTAAAGGACATTTGGTAAATGAGAATGAAATTTAAAAAAACTATTTATTTACTGAAGCCCTGGCTGGTGTGGCTCAGTGGACTGACAACAGGCTGCAAACCAAAGGGTCACCGGTTCAATTCCCAGTCAGCGCACAAGCCTGGGTTATGGGCCAGGTCCCCAGTAGGGGGTGTGTGAGAGGCAACCACATATTGATGTTTCTCTCCCTCTCTTTCTCTTTCCCTTCCCCTCCCTCTAAAAGTAAATAAATACAATCTTTAAAAAAATTATTTACTAACAAGGTAGACAATATGTCACGTTAAACATTTTTCACAAAATGCTAACTTTATGTGAAGGAATTCTCCCCAAACATTTAAGTATTTGCAAGGCACCGACCCATTTAAAATACAAAGTGAAAAATCAAGAGCTCACACCTGCAAACGCTGTACTCAGAAGCCTGGACAGTCTACGAGCAGCCCCTGCGCTGCGCTTCCTGCAGGGAAAGCCACTGCCGGGAGAGACGCCGCACTTCCGCAGAGAGTGCATGACTGGGCTCCGGGGCTCCAACGGGGGAGGGGGCCTGCCTTGGGACCCACACAGTCACTCACTGGCCCGAGGCCATGGCTTTAGCTATTGTGTCCAGAGCACATCCTGACACTAACTTGTAAACAAAGGTCCCAGCCCTGAGCAGTGTGGCTCCGTGGACTGGGCGTGTCCCAAAAAGTGAAAGGTCACTGGTTTGGTTCCTGGTCAGGGCACATGTCTGGGTTGCAGGTTTGATCCCCAGTCGGGGCACCTGAGAGAAGCAACTGATTAATGCTTCTCTCATACTGATGTTTCTCTCCCTCTCTCTCTCCCCCTCCCTTCCCCTCTCTAAAGATAAACAAATACATCTAAAAAATAAAAAGGTTCTAATGACTCCTCACTTCACAAGTGCACACACACACGCACACACACACTCTCTCACTCTTCCTCGACCTGTTCTGACAACACAGTGCCCAGCCTCAGGGCGGGCTGGGTGTCCTGCTGGGCACGGCAGGAGCTCGGCCCACACCTCGCAGGCCCCCTTCCTCGTGCTTTCCTGCCTCCTCTTCACGACGAAACTACTCAGCTCACACGGACACACGCCACTCAGCCCTCCCAAACTCCCTGCTCTGGGGGGGCCCGCGTCCACTCGAGATGACACGGCGCTGGGGGCGGCAGTGGAAGCAAGCGCACTGCACCTGTGAACCCTGCGTGTGCCAGGCTCCATCCTGAACCCTCGCCTGCGTGACGGTGTCCGAGCCCCCGAGCCCCACGGAGGACGGGCAGGGCCTTTAGGTTCCATTGACAAGGGAACCAGGGCACGGAGTAGGGAAGGTGCCCAGCGGACAGCACGGAGGACACGGGCTGGAACCCACAGCCAACACACTTCCACAGGCCAGGCTTCCTGCTGCCACTCACTGCACAGTCTTGCTGCTGGGAATGCTCTCGTTGGCTTACGTCAGAAGTCCACGTCCTCTGCGGCGCCCTTCCCACGGCCCTGCACACCCACGTGCTACTTCCCACGCGGCACGGCCTTCCTCCAAGGGCGGGGGCTCGCTCCAACCACAGATTGTGCCTCGTGACTCAGCACTGATTTTATTTTGGACTGCTCTAAGCTTTTGAGATGTGCTAAGAAAACACAGGGCCCTGGCCAGGAGGCTCAGTAGGTTGGAGCATCACCCCATACACCGAAAGGTTGCAGGTTTGATTCCTGGTCAGGGCAGGTGCCTAGGCCATGGGTCTGACCCCCAGTCAGGGACCATACAGGAAGCAACCGATTGATATTTCTCTCTCACATCTATCTACCTATCTCTCCCCACCCCCATATCTCTCTCTCTCTAAAATCAACAAACTCATGCTTGGGTGATGATTTTACAAAAAAAGTAAAGAGAAAAAAACTGGGAAAAGGCTATTTTTGTGAGCTAGAAGAGACTCTGAAAGAAGAAAAGCACGCAAGGACACAATCCCCAGAGTTCACTGAAAACACTAATGGCCACCTAAGACGCGCCCGACAGCACAGCTGCAGACACGCCAGCTCTGGGGCTGCAAGCCGGACCCTCCCTAGGACGCCGGACACAGCCTCTGGGGCCGAGCCACCCATCCAGGCCCCGGTCTGCAGTCACCGGAGACAAGGACTGCGGGCTGTGTGGGCACAAGCTCACCTTTCTGGGGCCGGACGATGAAAGACTGCGAGGCTCCACTCACCAGCCGGCAGTAGCCATCGATCAGGTCGGCCATGTTCTCGGCGATGGTCAGGGACGGGGCCGTCACTGTCAGAGGCTGGGAGGGGAGCGGAGCAAGAAAGAGCCGTCATTGTTCTCCCAACAATCAAAGGGACAGCTGCGCATGACATCAGACCTCTAGACACCCGATGAAGCAGGAGGGTGGCAGTGAAACGAGATTTGTCATAAGGTTTGAGAAGAAAAGGAAGTTTGGTATTTAAGGTGGCTATTCCTGGAATATGTGACAGAAGGCAACCCAGACAAAACTGGGAAAGCCACTGAAACTGACACTCGCGTTCTAGAACAAGGGAGGTGGAAACAATATTTTCCTTTGGAATGCCGGGCCCCTCTGGGCACAGGCTAACTAAGTGAAGAATTGAGATAACCAGCCACTTAAGTACAGGCTACTTTAGAAAGGAGACTAACATGGGGTAAATTTTTACCCACCGTCCTTCATAACTTTTCTAACATGAAGGGAAACTAGGAAAGTTTCATTCTTTTTAGCATGGATCACACATGCTGAGGTGACTCTTTCCAACATAAAACGGGAACTTCCGAGGCCCTTCCTACCAACCTATCATCCAGGCTGATCCAGGACAGTCAGTAGGTTTCAGTAGTTCACGGTGTCATTTTACACCAAGAAAGAATCCAGTGTGCTTCCCTAGGCCTCAGAAATGCCCCAACCCCAGGGCAGACCCAGCCCAGGGTGGGGGTGGAGCCCTGCAGGGGAGCTGCCCCTAGCCATCTGTACCACCGGGGGAGGAGCACCTACACCGCACTTGCACACCAGCACGGTGATGCTGGCCACAGGGGGCCAGGTTCCTTCACCCGTGCATGCTTGCCGTCCGCCCTGAGCAAGGGTCGTTCGTCTTGGGCAACACCTGTCTTCAGCGCACCACGCACGTGCGGAGGACACAGGCTCTGCGGCCTAACGTGGTCAGGGGACAACACAGCGTACAGGATGTACGTATTTTCACCCTTGGACACTTTTAAGCAGTTGTTTTCCATGGTAATTCACAATGGCCTTCAATCACCCTCACAATACTTTCGATTGGTCTTTAAATGTTTCCTGTTCTATTCTTGGGGGCATGTGATCGTTAGTGTTTGTAATGTAACACTTCCTACGGAAGGGAAAGTTGGGCTGCTGGCGACCCGTGACACCACCCTCACCCAGGAAGCGGCCTGGCTCTGTGTGCTCGCCCCAGCCCCTGCAGAAGGCCGGGCGTCCTTACCTCGGGCGCGCCCGCTACCCTCAGCTGCAGCACGCCTTTTCTGTCCTTGTCTTCGCCGTTTGAGTACTGAATGGTCTGCACTTGGTTGAAGTCAGCCAGATGCGTGGGCTTTGGAGAGAAAAGGCACAAACTGGACCACAGATAAAAGTCGGCCTTCACCTATTCTGTGAGATACCCACAGTCCCACCCCCACCCTGTCCTCCTGAAGACGCCGCCCCAGGGACTGGTGTCCCCAGGGGGGTTCTCCTTCTGAGGGGCACATCTGCTCACGCCAGGGCTGGGGGTATGCCTGCTCTACGTGCTCCTGACGGCCAGGGGCTCCGTCCTGGGGCTCCTGAAAGGGTCCCGGTGGGTCCCAGACGGAAAGGAAGCGGAAGGCTTCCCTGACTCGCTCAGCTCCCTACCAGCGGGGAGGGGCAGTGCTTTGTGAAATTCCACACTCATCCCTGGGGATGAGTGTGTGCAGCTCTCCTTCCCTGGGGAGGGGCTGCTCCCCCCAGGGCCCCTCCCAGCACACCCTGTGCCGGAACAAGCTCCTGAGGCCTCCTGAAGCTCCAGAGCGGAACGGAGCCGGGGAGGCCGCAGGTGTCCCGGGACCCTTCCACATGGACAGGCCAAGAGAAACTGCTCAGTTTCCTGAGCAGAACAAACTCTTCTCAGGAAGACAGAAATGCCCGCCTGCTTTCCAGCCCCCTAGGGTCATTTCATGACTCCCCCAAAGCCCCCTCACTTAGCAAGCAATGGATTTCTGCACGTTTATTCAGAACGAGCCTGGTTAAGGCCTCAAGACTCCCAGTGGCACCAGCCCCGGCTGCCGAGCAGCCCACTCAGCACAGGCCACATTGCTGGCACTGAGCTGGTGGATGCACCCCAGCTTCCCTCCCCAGCAAAACGCCTTCCGGCTTGCTTTCGGGCAGCCCTCCGTGCCCCCTGCCCCAGGCCCCGCCACAGCAGGCCCCAGGCCCACTCTCAGCATCAGGGACAGCTGGCCTGGAGTTTCTGGCCACCACCCCCGGCTGTTTCCCACCTCCTGGCTTGTACCCTACTCAGACTACAAGTGTTCAAGTGCCACGGCCCCTGTGAATCCCCATCCCCTTGGCCTGACCTTCCATCCCCAGCCAGCCCACCCGGAAGGGGCGGGTGGGGCAGTGGGCCACGCTCAGCAGGCCCAGGACCCCCCCAGAGCAGACTCACGCTGCAGCCCTTGTCTGTGAGGTAGCTGATGCCTTCCTCGGGGCCGATCGCCAACTCCACTGAAATAACCCAGCTTGACTTGTGAGGGTGAAACAGGGGTAGACAGAGGTACCAAAAGGAAAAAGAACTGTTTTAGATAAAGAGCCCAGGATACATTAGAGGACCAGTGGGGGATGGGTTAGCCAGCCAGCCATTAATCTCTCTAACCAAGCAATACAAAATATTTAGCCCTTCATTAACCCTGTTCTGTGCTGAGCCCAGACAGAGACGCTGCATGCATCCCCGAGGTCTGAAGCCAGCGGTCTCTTCAGGAAGGTTGTCTGAGCCCGATAAACTAGCCCTCCCAAACAGTTCACCAACACTGGTGGCCCTCTCATTATGGACACAGACGTGCCACTTAAAAAAGATGGTTTTATTCTCACACTGACACATTTTTTGCATTTTCCGCACATGCTTGTGTTGTTAAAAATGTGACCAATTTGATCCCAACTGGAAATGCAGATACACACAGGAAGACACCCAGCGTTGCCCACCCACCCCGGCCTCACACTCACACCAAGAGCGCACTTGAAGCATTCCTTGTCGAATCTGTACACTGGGGAGAGGATCTCGAAGAATTTCAGAATGCTTTCTTCCCTGTTCAGGTTGGCGAACTGTCTAAACGTCTGCTGGATCAGCTTCCTCAGCGTCTTGGCCTGCACGAAAACGGCAAAGCCTCCTCGGAGCAGGGAAGGGGCAAGAGCACAGCGACGCCGGCTGCCCTCTGCTGCCCAGGGAACGCCACTCGGGTCCACGTTACTACACAATGCCATGCTTACCAGGCCTGTATACCTTCTTTTAAACAACCCATAAAGTACACAGAACAGAAAACACACCATCTTAATCATGGTAAGTGTGCGGTTCAGAGGTTGTGAGCTTTATGTCTCAAGTAGACGTCTGAGGCAGCAGCCGGTCCGTTAGAACGTGTAAAGAGTGGGGCATTAAGAGCAGGCCCTTGCCTGTGACAGGGGCCTGGCCCCCACAGGGGACGGGTCAGGCACCCCCATGCCCACTGATCCGAGGGGCGGCCTGTGCAGAGCCTTTTGAAGGGCAACTTGGACATGGGTCAGAAACCTGAGAAAACAAGAGCACAGCTCTTGCCCCAGCAATGCAAACGCCAGGACATTACACTCTAGCAGCTGCGATCACAGAACTACTTGAAGATTCAGCAACAAGGGGGTTCTGCAGAACCTTTCCAGTAACACCTGGCCAGGCCACCTGTATGGTGGTGCGTCTGCCCACCAGCCAGGCTGCACAGCCCAGCACCGCTGTGTGGCGCTCACCGACAGACACTCTGGCCCGTACTGTGAAGTTCTGTGAAGAAACCAGAGCGAGCCATCTGCGTGTGCTGGGGCTGTGGAAGGGCACCGCCGGGTGGGCAACATGCACAAGGCCCATGCACTGAGCGCAGGCCCCACCGCCCAAGGCGGCGGGGAAGCCAAGGCCCTGCCTCCACGTGCCACCCAATCTCACACCGGCTCACACACAGAGAGCCACTCAGAGTGAGGTCAGACGGTCCAGACCACAGCTACCCAGCCACCTGGAGCACAGAAAGTATTTCATAGTAGTCGCCCAAGTATTTGTCAGATGCTGCTAGCAAAGTAGACCCCTAGGGCTTCTCAGATGAAAACACTGAGATGCAATGCTAAAGAAAACTTCCAGTAAGAGAATAGTAAGCTGAGGAATTCATACCTACCCACTTACCAAATGCTAAACACAGATACGTTAACAGTACATGCAAAGTGTGTTTTTTAAAAATGAGACATAACTAACATAACGTTACGTCAGATTTAGGGACACGACATAACGATTCAGTGCTCGTGCACATTGCAGAACGATCACCTCGATGTCCAGTCAACATTCCTCACCTCACAGAGCTGTAATTTTTTTCTTGTGACGTGAACTTTAAGGCCTACTCTCTTCGTAACTTTCGAATACGCGACGCAGCATCAACAACCCCGTGAGGCTCATTTGGTACCTGGAAGTTTGTATCTTTTGACTCCCCTCACCTGTTCTGCCTGCCCCCAAGCCCCCAAGTCTGGCAACCTCCAATCTACGAGCTTAGGTCTGTTTTGTTTTAGAGTTCCACGCACCAGCGAAGTCACACAGTAGTCGTCTCTGACCTATTCCACTTAGCACAGTGACCTCGGGTCCGTCCGCACTGTCACAGACAGCAAGGTCTGCTTCTTGTTCATGGCCAGGGAACACGGTGTGGTATGCGCGCACATCTTTACACACCCACCAGGGAAAGACACCGCGGCCGCCGCCCCCACCGGCAGCTGCCGTAACTGATGCTTCATGAGACGGGGGCTTCTTCTTCATCCCGCTGTCGGGCCTGTGTCGGATGGGTGCCGCCCACGGAGACACCCAGTTTCTCTCCCCCAGCACCCCACTCACATGCTGGTGGACAGCAGCTGCCAGGAATGGCGAGCTGAGTGACTACTGAGCCAGGTGCTCCTGTGCCAAACTACTCATCACCTGCTGATCAGACACGAGGACGATGACCACAACCTCTAAGAAGAGAACTACACATGCCCTGTGGTCCTCTGGGAAGCACTTTCATCCAGTAACTCCTGAGCTCTTACTGTTTCTAGTTCTGAAACTGGATTGCCGTTGTGACTGATACTCAAACACACTGAAACGGGGCGCTTCGGGGTCTGCTACCGAAGTCCAGCCTGACAGAAGAGCTGCAGAGGCAGCAGGCGAGTCCCGCAGGGTGGGCGCCTTCACAGCCCCAGCCTGCGCTCGGTACCCGTCCCCTCACCACGCACCTTACCTGCATTTCGCTCTCTGTCCACCAGGAGCACTGGCCACTATTAACCTGAGACTGTCCGGGTTCTCACTGCACTTCCTGCGTCTCCTCGCACTGTTAACAGTAATGGTCGGAAGCTGTACCTCTAGCGCCCTACTCGTCACTAACATAACCGGAGCACTGTCGCCTTTTTGCAGCTCAGCTCTCACACAGAGGGAGGGAACCACGCACCACAGGGGAGGTTTCTGCTCGGCCTGGCCCTTGGATGGTGACAAGGTGAGTTCGAATTACCTTGACCGAGTCCAGTAAACTCCTAGGGAAGAACCGCTTCAAGCCAACATCTTTCCTGAAATATAAAAAGAAGTGCAACAATAACCACACCGAGTCAATTACACAATGCCACTGTTGCAAAAGCACAAAAGTGATTTGAATAATTTATCCTTGCACATGTGATTCAGGAAGGAAGCAGGACGAAACTTCACCAGCAAAGTCACAGAGCCGGCGGCTACCAGTGCTCCAGGGGCGTGCAGACAACGGCACTGCCGCCGGGCCTAGGAGGGGCCCACGTGGGATGCCACCTCCCTGCAGAGCGCACCGTAGGGAGGCCCGCCCCCACGACCCCCCACGACGCCCCCGAAGGCCAGTCTCACAACATGGGTTTGCAGCGGGCGGTGCCACCTCAGCCGACAGGCCCAATTAGGGTGACGTGTGGGATGTGCTATGGGAGTTTAAGAAACAAACCCTAAATTCAATCTAAAGGGGCTGACACTTTTCCAACATCAACTTTCTGAGTAGGGGACACATTCCCCTCGTCAAGAGCCACCATCTCAGCTTCACACAGGAGACGAGAGAAGACATTAAGGGAGTTGCCTAAGGTCAAAAATACTGAAAAGCCCGGCGACTTTCTTTCAATGAAGCTATGCAATCAGTCATTCCTACCAAGACCCTCAAAGCGATCTGGCCCAGCAATCAGGCCCTCAGCAGCGCCTGTCCTCCGTTGCCCTTTGGTGCCACAGCCCAGGTTCCCAGCCCCTAGGTGGCAGTCCTGAGCTGGCGACGAACCGAGCCTGGACAGCCAGGAGTGTCAGGGGACACTCAGCACGTGCAAAGGATCAGGGAGAGAGGGAGAGACAGGTGCCTGCTCAGGCACCCGCACAGAAACAACTACCCAAACGGACACAGAAAGGGCCCCTTCGTCCGTAACGCTCAGCAAGCCGGCACCCACAGAAACCGGGCGGGCCTCCAGGCAAACGTTCAGTCCCCTGCCTGAACTCTGACCGGTCGGGACCAAAACCAGAGGACTCCTTGCTGAATCCCACACTGGTCTCTCTTTGCGCCTTTTTATCTGTTTCTATCAGCACACTCACCACATCTTTAGAAAAAGTTCTCCTGGCTTCCATGACATACTGCTTTTCTGGTTTTGCTTACCGGCTACTTCATGAAGCCCCTGGCTTGCCGCTGACTTCCTAACCGTGTGCATTTCCCTCTCGCCCTTCCTGTCCCCCCGACTTGCAGAGCTCAAGATGACCCTGAACGTGAGCAGAACCATGTGCCCCAGGCCCTTCCCGCTCCGTCTGCCTCCTGAGAGCACAGAGGCTTTGCACTCCAGCAGTTCGGTGCTGGGCACCATGGGAAGGAGCAAAGCAGCACATGGAAGAGAGACAAACACCCTGGAGTCTTTGAGGCACATTCCTGATTGCACCCTTCCGGCTCTCCTTCAGCAACCAGCAACCAGTCCATGGTGAGAAACACTTCTCATTTAGAGAGTTGGGAACTAAAATTGAGGCCATGCCATGGGGCAGACATGGGTGTCACCTCACACCTGGAAACCTCAGGCTCTCTCTCCTCTCAGATGGAGAGGCTGCCTGTCCCACTGCACGCCGTGGTGCTGAGGGTAAGACAAGAGTCAGGTCCTGGAACCGATGCCAAGGGGCGCTCTCCTATCCCTGGAACATCACAGGCCCCTCCCGTCTGGTGAGTTGAGCCGGCAGGCCTGCCTACCAACTGTCGGGAACAGAGGGAGGTGTGATCCATGATACACTCACGCCACTGCCTGACCGTACCATGGCAGAGTGGAGAGGGCGGGGAGGCTCTGGCAGAGGCCTGGGGAGAGGGGTGAGAAGGAGGAGATGCAGAGCTGTTTGGGAGAGACAGAGAGCCAGCAGAACTACTTGACGGACACATGAGGCAGGGGGAGGGAAAGGTGACCTCAGAGATGCGGACATCGTGCCCTGGGAAGGGGAAGGCTGGGGACACCATGAGGTCTGCCTCAGACCTGGGGGGTTCGCCCTCCCGGGGGGCGGGGCTTCAGCAAGACAGGTAATTGAGGGAAAGACCAGGGCAGGGGACGCCTCTCCCCACTGTGACACCGCCCATGCCATCGGTCAAGCCGGTTACATCTCTGTGTTTCTCAGAATCAGGTGGAAAGAATTTGTTGTACTCGTTTCTGCCGCAAATAGGAAATTTAAAGGTGGACCAAGACAGTGGTATGGTTTCAGGAAAGATGAGAGAGCGTATTTCTTTGTGGAACTAAAGCGACTGCTGGGCATCACCTTAACTTCCCAGGTGCAGACATCTCCACCGGAAAAGAGCTGAGGCCAACTAACGCCCGGTAAGTCCACAGGTCAGCTTTTTCCAACAACCTTTGGGGAACAAGGAATCTGAAGCATTTGTCCGTGCGTTAGAGATCTTTTAAATGGGAAGCTTGGCAGGTAAGAAAATGGAAATGAGACTGAAGCACACAAAACCATTGGAAAAACTCAACACCCCCCTTAACACATTCCCGTCAATTTAATCAAGAAGCTGGTCTACGTCAGGCTCCGCGCTGACCTCTCTCAAGGCAGCGGGGGCCACAGGCCGCCCCACCGCACACCGGCCCGGACCACACTGGTGCTCGCCTCGGAGCCGCGTGGCTTCGACTTCGGTGGCAGAGCCTCACCTCAGCCCGAACGCCAGGCCTGCGAGACAACGTGACCGGAACACTGAGCGGCACTTACAAACAGGAGGCGGCTCCTGGCCGCCCCTGTGACGTCATCGCTCGTCAGGAGGCAGATGGCTGTTGAGGGGCAGGCCCTCGATACACACGCTCCCTGGACAAGTGCGCTCCCGGGGGCTCTGAGAACACTGCTCGCCTCCGGGTCCGAACCCCGCTCTGTGCTGTTGACACACTAGAGTTCCAGGGGACTTTTTAAACCCAGGCACAGGAGACTCGGCACTAACACTGTGGGGGCTGCCCCAGGGTTCTAGCACCCAGTCCCTGAGACCCCCATCATTCGGAGTTGGGGCTTCGAGGACAGGGAGCCTGTGCGCACTCACTGCCTCTCACCGGCCCCTGCAGCGCGGCCCCGCCTCTCCAGGGAGACACCCACAGAAATGACTAGCGGCTGAGTGTGAGCTGGACGCTCATTACGTCTGTGGTCAACTCTAAACCAGAACTTCCTCTGTTGAGTGTTGAACTCCGCTGCCCAGCCTTCAGACGAAGCATCCATGCACCCCGCCAGTGGACGCGGCCTCCCCCCTCCCAGGCACCCTCCGAGCTGCCCACAGCCCCACCCGCTGCCCGTGACTTCCTCATGTTCCCCCTTCACACCACACCTGCCATTCAGGTCACTCAAGGCTGGGGGGACCCTCCACCTGCTGCCTCTAACAGGAGGGCCTGGGCGCCACCCGACAGGTGCCACCACGAGCTCCTGGGCTCGGGTGCCAGCCCGGAGCCCTGCCCTGCACATGTGCTCGTGACCACAGTGGGCTGTGGGAGGCCAGAGAAAGGAGCAGGCTTTACTTACGTATTAAAAAGTAATTCAGCTTCTTATGGGTGAGGTTTGGTTTTTTAAGATTTTGTTTATTTCTAAAGAGGGGAATGGAGGGAAAAGGAGGAGAGAAACATTGACGAGTGAGAGAAACACTCATTGTCTGCCTCATGTACGTGCCCCAACCAGGGATTGAACCCACAACCTAGGCACGTGCCCTGATCAGGAATTGAGTGGCCACCTTTCGCTTTGCTGGACAACGCCCAACCAACAGAGCCACAGTGGCCAGGGCCTGAGTTCTTGCATCAAAGATACATTTGTTTGCTGGCTTCCATCCCTCAAAGCTTTAAAGCCCAGGCAAAAAAGTAACCGAAACCGACTTTAAATACACTGAAAACTAGTATGTACATATTCATGTAGTATTCCTATCTTATCCTCACCCCAAAACGCTCAGAATTGAGTATCTTTAATTTAAAAATACCACTTAGGTACTCAAACTCTAAAATGATTCTTTATGTTTCTTAAAAACTGATGAATGTAAAATTCTCCAACTGCCACAGAGGCTGACACTTGCTTCTGAGTGGCACGGTCTTCTTCATCCTGAGTACAGCTGTCTTGCAGACAGGCGTGGCAGTGCACAGCTCTGGTGGCTGGGGTGGCCCGCGACTGTGTTTGGCCAACATCCTCCCCTCAAAGGGATGGTGCTACACACTCCTTCATGCCAGGCTGGACCTCGCATGGGATGGGTGAGGCCCAGCAGCCAACCCAGGCCACAAGGTGGCCCGGGACAGACGAGGAAGGACAAGATCAAAGGGGCCTGGCACCTGGCAACGAGGCACATTGACCACCTACGACTTTTCCGTACAGAAATGAGAACCTGTGCGAACCCGCCGGCCCCCTTCCTCTGTGTGCGTTAGAGGTACCTGGAGGAAGCACCGGAAGCCGGCGGACAGTGTCACATCCGGAACCAGCACATCAGCACCACACTGGTGACTTGCTTGGTTTAATCTGACATTGGCAGCTGCGCACTTTCTCAGCTTGGTAAGAAAACATCCACTCCGACCTGCGGCCAGTGCCTTCTTTTCTACCCATCACCTCTAACTCACAAACGATATCAACGGAAGTCGCTCCGTCCGCACCCCAGTCTGTCCCCCAGCAGCAGGGGCCCTCGGGCCGTGAAGATGCAGGGAAGGGGCTGGGGGACCCTCTGCCTCGTGCCTCCCCTTTGCCTATAGGAAAGGCCCTTGGTGCTACCAAGGCTAAAAACACAGAGAAAGACTGGTGACCTCTTTAGCTGGCTTTAAAAAACACGCACACCCTCACGTATGTAAACTTCTGGAAAGTGTTTTTACCGCTGTCTAAAGCTGCCCGATGACTTCTAGGGAAACTTGACGGTGACCCAACCGCACCCGCATGAGCAAGGCGTGCGACAGGAAGGAAACGCAGGGGTAGTGTTGTGGCCGGCACCCCACTATCCACACTTCTGTGCCTTCGCAGAAGCCGTTCTCTCTTCCTGGTCAGCTCGGGGCCTGCCCAACACCCGCCCCCAGTGCCCACACTCCTCCCCCTAAACTCAGAAGTGGACCAGTGCCTCAGACATCCAGTACTGCCCCCCAACACCCTCCGGCACTTCTACATTCGCTCCTGATGTGTTATTTTATGATACTTTAAAGTAAAGATAAACTAGTGAAAAAGTACAGTTTGAAGAACGATTCTGTTGTGAATATTTGCTTTTAGAAGGCTCATTTTCTGATGTGTAATACTTACTCCAATACTTCATAGTTCGACTTCTTTTCTAGAGCATTGCCCCGCATCTCCCAGTATGACCGCCTAAAATCAGGAAAGATACAGGTTTCATATATACGCATGCAGAACATCTGGGCTGTGCAATAATAAAAACTGCCGGGGGGAGGGGTGCTGAACTGCCGTGGCTCAGCCGCAGGTGCCCTGATCAAGTCAGTCTGAGCACAGAGTGCGTCTGTCCGCAGCACGAGCGCACACCCTAGGGGGCAGCCGGTTAACCCAGGCCTGCGTCTCTGGGCCGGCCCTCCTGCCTTTGGGAGGGGCAGGTCTGGCGCTCGGGAGAGGTGAGACGTGGACAGTGGCTGTGCAAGACCAGCTGTATTTGCCACTCCTGCACTTGACCTTTCATCTGAGGACAGCACCTGCTAGCTCAACAACCACGGGCACACCAGAGGGCTGCTGTGGCGGGTGTGTGTACCTCCCGCAGAGGCCGGGCCACAAGTGTGACTGTACCAGACACGTCACAGAATGGCCAATCTCATTCAGAACCTTCTCAAATGTGCAATCACGTTTTACTTAATATTTTACTGATAGTCTTCATGAAGAAATTAAAATACCCAGTTAGTTTTCAAGCATAATGAAAACCATTCCTGAATAAAGACCTCAACACACAGTTACCACCTTACCGTATTTCTAGACAACCCAACTTCAAAGCAATGTCCTGGTCCACTTGGTCAGCTATCTCTGACATATAATCGCTCTTCACCTACGATGAAAAGGGGGAAACAATGCTGTTTTGAAAGAACACACTTTAGACGTACTCGCTCACTAAATGTTTGCATGTTTTACACATCCTGTGTCGATAATGATGCTTGATGCTGGACACAGAGATGAGTTGCACCACAAACCAACGAAAGAAACACACAGGCCCTCCTCTCGGGAGCCTGCATAGCCCGTGAGCTCCGTGAGGCAGGGCCCAACCCCAGGTGGAGGGTGGGCGAGCGAACAAAGCTCACCTGAGTTCCTTCCCACCTCCTGTGCGTGTCCCCGCCCCCAAATGTCTCCCAGGAAACCAGTCCTTGGTGCCAAAAAGGTTGGGGACCACTGGTGTAAGGGACAACGGACAGCATCTGAACCACAGCCACGCGGGTCACCTGCCCTCTCCTGCTCCCCTCCCGTGCAGTCCAGAGGGAACCAGAGGAGAACCGCCACGCCCACCCAGATCCCGAGACCGTCTTCTTAACTCGACTTTCAGTCCCGACAGCATTTTTGGACCTTAGTGCCAGACCAGGAAAATTTACATATTCCAAAATCCATCTAACTCTACAACTGAGGTGCTCCCACCCACCCACCCACTGTGATTGATCTGCAAAGTAATAAAGTGTGCCTCAAGTCTAACACAAAGAGAAGAATCTAACGGAATAGCACAAATGCTTCTCAACACCGGGTACACTCAGCTGACAAAGCCGATGGACGATCCACTGGCACCGGAGGACCTCCCGGGACGAGGCCATCCGCCCCTTCCAGCGGAGCTCGTCTTCCCGTCAGCAGACCTGCCCCACCGAACACTGCCCTCTGCTGCTGGACTGCGAGCTGTACCAAGCAAAACCATGGACCCGCGGCTCGGCGCCCGGGCTCTGGTTGTGCAGTATTTCAGAGTGCCCAGTCTGCCTCTTGGTTCTCAGCTTGATGACATTTACTCTTGGGCCCTTTACAGAAAAAAGTGCATTGACCCAGCCATAGAAAACTCCAAACCATCTCCTCTTCGTCTGCCAGTTCGAGAGGTCTCGACTCCCCTGTGAGTCGGTCTGCCCCCCCTTCTGCTGGCTGCCCCTCGAGATCTTCCCTTGCAGAGACCCCCACCCGCCCCGTGACCCACCCTGCCCCAGTGCCCTCACTGACTGGCAAACACCACAGGGGGACAAACCTCCCTGGCTCTCCAGGGTGACTGCCGGGCCACTGGAGAAGCTGCAGAATGAGAGACGCCTTAAGCCCCTAAGGTAAACTCAGACGGTCGGCTGAGACTGTGGAGAAACTCAGCCACCCGTGCCAAGAATTGTGCCTGTGCCCTGCCTCAGACTTGCTCCACCAACTGCCGCACCAGTTTCTCACAGAGGAAACAAAGCCCCCAGTGGGAGCGACCGCTCCGACAGACCCAGAGTGAGTATGCACCCCGACACGCACGTCTGCCCACCCCATCAGTCCTCCTCCAGCAGAGGACGCCGGAAGCACTCACCCAGCAGGGCACAGCCACCTGCTGTCGCTGACCTGAGCACCACCTCCTCTCAAAACCTGCTTCAGTTTCTGCATCAGCACCTTGACCGTGGTGGTCAGTAAACATTTACTGGCTAAACAAGTGAGCGGATGAATGAATGAGTGAACAGTGATTGAACAGGAGCTCTGACGCCACTTCATGTGAATGTTATTTTGCACGTGAGACATACAAGCATTAGCAATTTCTATTCTGATTCAATGGAACTGAATTACTCAATTCACTACACCAAGTACAAAGCTTTAATTCTAAAACCATTTTATTTACACTTATTCGTCTCTTGCTCCTATACAGCAAGAAGCAAATCTGAATTTAAGAACTAAGTCCTCACGTCATTGGTAGGTTTACTGTTGAGCAAAAATAAAGCCACAAGAAACAAATCAAGACCTGTATACACACACGTGCGTCAGTGAGATGCTTGCTGTTCTGACCGGAACCCCCAGCGACTCCGGAGCATCCACAGCGCAGCAGCAGTCACACGTGGAGACAAGGCCCCACCGCAAAACTGTCCTGGAGATTAACTACGTAATTTTTAAACACTATTTACAGGTGGGAAAATGTAATCACTTTATTTCATTCATTAAAACCAGTCCTATTAGTTGCAAAAACGAAAAAGGGGAAATTATAATTAAACAATTCTAATGGGAAATCCCACTTTTACAAATGTGACTAAGGGTTCTGAGCCCCGGTGGTGTGGCTCAGTGGACTGAGCGCACGCCTGTGAACCAAAGGGTCGCTGTTCCACTGCCAGTTGGGGCACAGGCCAGGGTTGTGGGCCAGGTTCCCAGGTGGGGGCGCGTGAGAGGCAACCACATATTGATGTTTCTCTCTCTCCCTCCCTCTCTCTATAAAAATAAATAAAATCTTTAAAAGAAAAAGTTCTGAGAGTTTTTCTTTTTTTAATAAAGATTTCATTTATTTCTTAGAAAAGGGAAAGGAAGGAGAGAGAGAGAGAGAGAGAGAGAGACACCGATCCACTGCGTCCCACACACGCTTGGGCAGGGACTGAACCCACAACCAAGGCGTGCGCCCGACTGGGAATCGAACCGGGGACCCCTCACTTTGCGGAACTACTTCGAACCACTGCGCCACACCGGTCAGTGCCTAAGTGCTGTTTCCCCGCAGCGACATCTACTACCCCCAGACCCCTGCGCTGCACGGCCGCGGCCTGCAGTCCACCTGTGGTCGGAGGCGGCCAATGTGCTCTGTGAAGTGCGCCGGCCCAGCATGCAACGGGCCTCCCTGCCCACACTGTGCCCTGTGCGATGGGCCGAGGCCCCAGGCCAAGTGCTCTGTGCACAAGCGCCCCTGGTGGGGCTGAGGACTTGGGGTCCTGTGCACCCGGGGTCAGTTGCCTCCATAGAACGTGTCGTGACTGCCTTTCCCTCCAACTCCCAGCAAGAAGGTGCTGCTCTTGTTCGTGACATGGATGCGACTCACTGAGTGTCAAAGCGTGAGCCTGTGTGTGTGTGACTGCTTCAAGCACGCCCACTTCCCCCCACCACGCTGGGGGCCAGACACCACCCCCGCCCAGCTTGTGGGCAAAAGCCTGCAGAGAGGGGAGATGACAGCCACGGCACGGCGGCGACGGCGGGGTGTCTCCCAAGGCCAGGCCCTGGGCTGTGCGCTTGCACATGTCGTCTGCAATCCTGGCCACTCCCACTTTACACGGCAAGCTCAGAAGGTGCGAGTGCCCAGGGTCAGGGAGCTGATGCCCACCCCAGCACCTCGGGCCTCGGCGTGGGCACACACTCCCGCGGAAGGAAGACAGGCACAGAGTGGGGCCTGGCTCACCACCCTGGGGCCCCGGGTCTGAGACAGCCACACTGGTGTCCTCTGAGTCCTGTCACCACTGTCACTGTGCCGTGTGCTCCCTCAAGGCTGTGGTCACTACTGTGGATTAGCTGCATGTCTGGCAAATTGGCAGGAGTCTTTCGAGAGAAGACCTCAGAAAGCTGTTCTGTTGTTTTAAATCACTATAGTTTGCCATGTATAACACACTAACCTATGTAATGTGCACCCATGTGTAACACACTTCCATGTGTAATGTGTGCCCGTGTGTTACACACTACCATGTGTAATGTGCACCCATGTGTTACACACTACCCTGTGTAATGTGCACCCGTGTGAAATGCACTACCCTGTATAATGTGCACCCATGTGTTACACACTACGTGTAATGTGCACCCATGTTTTTTGGCTTTCAGGGAAAAAAGCCTTTTGTTTTAACTTAATTCAATTTTGAATTTATTTATATTTACAAATAAAACCAATTAGCATATTTTAAGGGCATAATTTTGCATACAGATATCATTACTGCTTTCTAGAGTTACACTCTTACTATGTAAGCATAAATTAAAGAATTAAAAACATTTATATACATGGAATTAGTACTACCCATGTATAATGCACATCCTTATTTTCCCCTTAAAAATGTGGACAAAAATATTCACATTGTACACAGCAAAATACAGTAATCTGTTCTGGTGTCGATGTCCCTTTCCTCCTTAAAAACACAGGATGCACTTGAACTTGCTGTTGAGAGCAGGTATTGTGTTGATGAGTTTCACCTTAGTCTGCAACAAAATTAAACATGGGGGAAACTGCTCACATCTGGTAAGAAGTATCAATCCTCAAGCACTCCACAACTTATTCCATATGTCACCTCAAATACTCTAGCTACCAAGTCAGATTTTGTTTTGTTTCGCTCTCATCTGAATACATCGCCAGCTAACAAACTTATCAACTAGACCCGAGAGCCACAGGGAGACAAGCCAACAAGAAGTAAGTGTGCCTGGCACCTTGCACGTCTCCACAGGCAAGTTCACAGCCTGGGCCACAGAGTTCAGTCACAGTGTGACATTCAGTGTTGGGAGCTGATGAGCACACACACTCACTTAAATCTCAAAGTATTTGTGCTTGGCACAAAACAACAACAACTTCACGCAAGACCAAGCATCCTAAGAGCTGACAATTTCAAGTGTCAAGTGGTTTGTGTACAAGATCAGTTACTATGACAACTTCTTAATCAAACATCGACATAGCCCTTCAAATAAAGCAAAAGGTTGTCGATCACATACTCACATTTTTCACAAATGCAAGTTCAGAGAGATAAGGAGGAATAAAATGCTATGCGGAGAAAGAACAGTCCGACCTCAGAGTAATAAAATAGAGTGTTCTTTACTGAGCTACTACTTTTAGCATCAAAGCTTATTTTTACAGGCTCCTGCTCCGCAGTGAAAAGGGCTATAGCAAGAGTCTTGTTTATTTTTGGAGTGTGATTATAATCTTTCAGAACATTCTAAAGTGGGTCAGAAGCACTGCGTGAATCACTTACACTACCTCCCACTTGGGACAGCTTCAAATGAGACTGCGCCTCCGGAACAACATCCCCCACCAGCCGGTCGGTCACCTGCACCAGCGCATGTACAGACACCTGCTCGCCCTCGTGACGCCGCCCAAAGCGCGGGGATGAGATTTCAAAGTGAATGGTAACATGAAGACAGGTTATTATATGCGCTCTCTCTGTCTGGAAATGGTGGTAGAGAGAATCTAAACATAATTCTTTTATTTCTACCTGATACAAGAATCAAAGCAACAGAAATACCGACTCTTCTGAAACAGAAAGAGTGACAGATGACACTCAGGGACGTTCACTATTCCCAGGCCTAGACCCTCAATATTCCCACAGGTGACTCCCAGAGATGGCAACGCACTACTGAACAGGGGTCAGAGCCCACAGGCTTCAGGTGCCGCGGCTCAGATTCAGAATAGAGACATTAACTCTTAACAAAATGACAAAGAAATAAAAGACAGAAAATCAGTAAGTAATAAGGGCCATAAAAGATGGCCTGGGAGATTTTTAAAAGTATGTGGGGCAGGGGGGAATAAAACTTTAGAAAATAAAAAAATAATAAACACAAAGGTACTACACATCAACCTGGTCACAGCCGAGGGGGGCTGGCGGCCGGGCTCGATGCCTGAGTCACAGATCCCAGATAGACAAGGAGCGGAAACCAGGCGCGAGGAGTTGACACAGACTGAGAAGCTCGAATGTGGATCTGCCCTGAAACCCGGAAGGAATAACAAACAATGAAGAAAAGGCAGTATCCTAATCAGCAGCGTCTAAGACATTCCTAGAATTGAGGAGCAAGATGTGCACCGGGGTACGAGCCGCACGGACGGGTAAAGCAGGAACAGATACGTGGAAAGAAAGAGAAGACTGATCACCGACAAAGACAGAAAGAGTGAGAGCCAACTTCTCAAGAGCGCCAATAAAAATTAGGCAGAGAAAATACTGTCCAAGTTCTGGGGCACACGGGACACACCCTCCACCTGGGCAGAGGTATCCACTGTCACAGAGAGTGCACGCCCCTGCCACTCCCCTAGCCCTCCCTGCCGTGGGACTTCCTCCTCACAGACCAGTGAGCCGGCCTCGGGGGCAGGACACGCTCCTTGCTCCCAGTGTCACACAGGGAGGAAGTGCGCCTTCCCCTTTCCTGACCCCAGCCCTGTTCATCCTCATCTTCATGCTCCATCCTGGCTCACCACCTTGGTCCAGCCTGATCCGCTCACTAATCTGCTGCCTCGCAGTCTGACCTCCCATCTTCCTCATTTCATGCCCAAAGGGCCGGCTTGCCTCCTAACTTGCTGGAAGCCCTTTCAGGACCCCCTCTACCCCCGGTACTGTCACCACATGGGGGTTCGTATTTAAAAGGAAGTTCTGACCAAGGCACCTTAGGGAGTGTTCCCTGAAGAACTTCTCCTCACCAGCCCCAGTGAGCTGCAGGAGAGACCTACCATCCCCTGTACACACTGCAGTCCCCCTCCCTCGCCCCTTCATCCCAAACCACGCAGCGCTCACACACACCGTATCGCCTAAAGCACTCTCTTCCTCATCTACAAAGTGGGAGACTCCTCAGATGACAGCTCTCGGGGGTCCCTTGAGGCCCACCTCCACCGGGCGGAGTCCCCCTGAGGCCGTCACACCACCACCCCAGCAGCGGACTGACCGTTCTGCCAGACTGAGGACTGGATGGTGCCGACCCGCTCGTCTGCCCTCAGACCCGCACCAGACATTCAATCCCCATTTTCACTCACTCAGAAACCACCAAGTGCATCATCTAGGCACAGAAACGTGCGCACGATGGCTCTGGTCTCACCGGATGGTCTCCAGGGGCACTGCTCACAAACACTAATGAGCAGCACCTATCGGGTTGGAAGACTGCGTTGGTTCATTTGCATCACATGTATTTATTGCCCAACTAATGTCTTAGGGGCAAAAAACAGGCTATTCTTACTATAAAAAGGTCCATTTTGGCTTTTTTGTGTAAATTGCTATTGAGACTGTATGGGTGCAGCTGGCTCTGACCATGAACTCCACATGGGACACGCTGCCGATGCTCGGCCAGGTCGACTGCACTGAATCACGGCGTGGAAAACGGACGTGACGCAGAGGACCCCCCAGCACACGCAGTGTCTGGTCGGAGCTGCCCAAGCAGAGAAACCTCCGCCGGTGTCAGGAGTTCGTACCTCTCACCAGTCTCACCAGTGCCGCACAGGGAAAAATTCACATTCTCCCAGACTTAGGTTCAAGCGAATACTCAAGTGAAACTATGTAACAAACAGGATGCAAAGAAACAAAGAAAAAAGTATAGTAAATCACCCTCCTATACCTGTTGATAGAAGAAATTCAAAGTCGGCTTGTCTTCAGTAAACTGGTTGAGAAATCCTTTCGGCAAATAACGAATTCTCAATTCGTATCTAAAAAATAATTCACAAAAATAGAACAATCAGAAATCAGTCAACTTCTCAGTTCTTCGTCTACAGTCACAATATGATGGTGAGTGTGGCACTGCCAATTCTCTGAAATGTTCCCTAAAAATGAGGTGAAAATAATCCACCAGTCAGTCAGCGCAAGGAGAGAGCGTGACGCACAGCCCGGACGCCCCCAGCCCCTCCGTCGCTCTGCCGGGCAGGGCCCGCACACCTCCCCCCAAGACGGCCGGCACTGCCTGCTCGGAGCTGCAGCGCAGGCCCGGCACCGACCGGGGCGCTGCATGCTTCGCCCCGAGAGCAGCTATGGTCTGCTCAGAGCTGGGAAGGCGGGCAGCCGCGTGCTGCGGGTGACCATTCAACTCGTCTCCACTTTCTGACGATTAGGAAGAATGCTGCTATGAACACTTTTTTCTTCTTACTCTAAGCACAAAAAAGTAAGTTATTTGCTCCGGAAGCCAAGTTTCAAGGATGGCTGAAACAACGAAGTTCCCCCGAATGCTCTCCAACCCCCCGCTTGTCTACCCCGATGCAGACTCCGACGCCTGTCTCCTGGTGGACACACCCACAGCTCTCCAGGCACCCCCAGGATGCTGACTCACTGGGTGATGCCGAGCACACGCTTTAGCGTTAGCTGGTGTGACCCACCGGTGAGTCACAGCAGCTCACACTCCCACAGGCAGCAGGGACAGGTTCTCGTGCACCTGCGTCCTCGCCTCTGCTTGTACAGTGTTCCTAACCTTTCCATTTTAGTCACGCCGATACCAGTTTGCTGCAATAGCACACAGTGATCATGACCGGCACTGCCCTGATGAACAGGGAAGCTGGGTTAATGAGCTGGGTTAATAACCGTCAGCTGTCTAGCCACAGCTGACTAGAAACTTACTTGTCTTTGTACTGTCTGTGTCTGGTGCAGAAGTATCCAGCACCTGTTCAAGGGTCAGCAAGTTCAGAAGCCCATCCTGTTTTTTAAAGATGCCACCCCCAAACCTGCCAGGGTACCCCACTATTTGCTGTCTTGCGGCTGTAAACCTTTTTGAGATCCCTTGTTGAATTCAGTGTTATAACAGCATGCTAGCCTTTCAAATTAAGGCATACACGTACGGAATGCCATTTCAAGATAACATATAAAGCTGTATCAAAATCCAATCCAGAACTTCCTAAACTATGATTTTTGTCTTCTTTTGTCATCTTTGAAAAAGAACACCTTTCCTCCACATAAAAGACTCTTCTCCTATAAAGATCCGAGGAAAAAACCCTCCTTTGCAGAGCGAGGAGCTGTGAACAGCAGCAAGCAGAGGCACGCTGAGTGGGAGAACAGGACACACGTCTTGAGAACAACGAAAAGGACTGTCTTTTTCAGCTTCTCTGCAAGGGCCCGGCGGCCCTCTCAAATGCCCAGGGAGGCTTCTCTGGAGCCTGGCCCTCCAAGCCCCAGTGCACTGACCAGCCACTTCCCCAAAGCGCCTACCCTCTTTTTGTGGCTGATCAACTTACTCAGAAGCCAAACTGGCCACTCCTGGTAGGTGATTCCAAATAACTGAAATAGTTATCAAAATCCACTTAACTAGAATTATCAAAGTACAAACCTTTTAAGTTTAAATCTGTTTGATGGAAATCTCTCAAAACTGCAAAACACCTTTTGCTGTATTGCAGCTGGTCCCGCTTTGGCCGACTCGGGTCCTATCAAACACCACCTGCCCACCAGTCTCCCGGGAGCTCTGTGGCAGGCAGGCTCCCTGCAGACCACCTGGGAAGGAAGCAGGGCCACAGCGGGCGGGGCAGGCTGCGCGCAGCAGCTCTGGCCCTCCTCCTCCTGCCTCCTTCCCTCCGCCCCCTCAGTTTTATGAGCCACGTTGCCCTGCCCAACCCATGTTTCCCACCATTGTTCTGGTTTATTTTGCTTTTTACTTTATAAAAGCATACCACGCTATAGGTCATCTTCTGGAGCTTACATTTTTTTTAAGATGGAGGTACAATTCACGTGACAAAACACAACCCATTTGAAAGTGTCCAGTTGGGAGGTACACAGCCCTGGGATCTGTGTTTGTCACTCGGTGTCACGTGGCCAAGGTGCACCCACACCGCTGCACGTCCCTAGAGCTCCCTGCTCCATCTAGGAACACTCCGCACCTCCGGTACCATGTACACATGCACATCTCTCAAGGACAGAGCGTGGAGTGAGGCCACAGGGCCGTAGCACATTTAATCCCTTGGTTTCCAAAGGGATGCTAAGCTGTTTTCCCCAATGGCTTTTACCAATTTTTACCTTCTCCCCAGTATGCAGACAAGACGTTGCTGGGTCCACAACCTCTCCAGCTACTGAGCCTGCCAAACGACTCACTTCCTGCCAACCCCATAACGTGAGCCAGAATCTCGCTGTGGTCCCAACGGGCGTCTCCCTAACCGCTACCCTGCATGCCCCTAATTCAATCATGAAGGCACTAAGGAAGGGACAGGGTCCTGCTGGGGGTACTGGCCCCACCTCTGTTCTTTCACGAAACACCTTCCTTTCTCTTGCTCATGCCTGGAGCAGTCTGCAAACTCCACATTGTCCAGCACTCCGCTCGTCAGTCACACGTGTCGCCAGTGCCTTCTCCCAGCTGCAGCTCCATGCAGACGGCATAAAAAGTCTACGTTCATACCTCACAGGACCGGAAACTGGTACCAACCATTCCACAAGTCCAGGCCCTTTCATTGGAATATTAAGACCTCACTTCTTTCTGCACTTTTAAAAATGTCTTTCCATAAACAGACCATCTCAGCCTCTGAAAAGTCACGGTGCTGCCCTCCCCCCACAGAGAGCACTGCAGGGGCGCTGAGAAAACCTTCCCAGTGCAGGGCAGCACGTGTCGCTCGGCTGCATCTCCCGCCGGACTCCCTGCTTTCCCACGCTGATCCGGGCCGCGAGGACGTCTGTGTTTTTAAGGTGGGATCTAACTTTGCTGTTCCTCTTCTAACAGAACAACTGTCCATCAAACCAGCCCATCCTTCCCCACTGACGCGTCCTGGAGGCTCGGGCAGGTGGTCCTGCTGAAGACAGTTCCCACCAAGTCCATGTGCTGCAGGCCAGCTCACTGAGGTGTCTGAAGAAAGGAAGGCTGAGTGAGGAAGTGCCCCCGTCGGGCTTACTTACACGAGGACACCCGACTGCAGGTGGCACAGCAGAGCTACGGCCCTGCCATTTGTCACTCCACGAGCCCAGCACTGCCATTGAGCGCTAAGCCCTTACTTCTCAGAAGTAAAGCTGGAGCTCGCAGTCCTCACATGCCCACTGTGACTAAGAGGAACTGTCAGCCAGGCAGAGAAAACGACAGCCACTGGTTCTGCGTCTGCTAGGGACACAGCTCTCCCAGGAGGGGAGAAGAGACAGCCGAGTGACGGGACTCATCTTCTTCCACTGGACCACCACAGCAGCTGCAGGACCCCAGGGCTGCCAAGCCTCTCTGAACCACAGCTTCCTCCTGAGTAACCTGGCCAGCAGAGAGCCCTCCTTGATAGGGCCACCGTCACACGCATGGACGCTGACGTCTGTGCTGGCCCATGTCTGCAGCCTCGGAAGCAAGTGTCCCTGTGGGGTCCAGTGTGGTTCCCTGCTGAATACGAGCCACTACGCCATGCCGGAATTCTGTCTCTTGGTTTGCCTTCCAATTTCATTACTGCTGATTCCATTTGCACTGGAAATCTCTTACAGGGCGCCTGCTACATACCAGGCGGGACCGGAAACCAGGAACAGGGATGCAGTGACTCCGGTAAGGCCCTGAGTGGGAAAGAAGCTATCAGCAGGCAGAAAGGTCCAGGACTGCCACAGGGCAGAGGTGACAGAGAAGCACTCACCCCAAATGAAGGGAGAGCCAGGTCGCACCGGAAACGTCCAAAGTGCCAAGGCCCCAAGGAGCGATGCGCGTGGCTTGCCAGGGAACGGGCCGCGTGGCTAGCGGGGAAGTGAAAAGCTCCCACAGAGGGCGAAGGAGCTCCTGGGAGCTGCCGAGCAGCACTGACTCACGTTTCATTGGTTCTTTGCATTTTAAAAGATCCACTAGCAAATTCCGTGAGCTCCGCCTTCAAAATCTATCCTTGCATGACTGCTCCCCGCCCCTCCCATTAAGACTGCCCTAGTCCACCTTCCTTCGGCACCTCTGCCTGGGTCACTGCTGTGGCTTGGTTATGGTTTCCTGGGTCCATATGACTAGACTGTGACTGTATTGCCACAGGCAGAGAGAGAGAGGAAAAAAGGTTCCTTGCACAGCCCCTAACCATAAATGCTAAGCAGCAGAAGAGAGGGGATGGTCAGGGCAGCCCGGTGCCCAGGAGGCTGCATGAAGACAGTACTGAGAAAGCGGGAAGGGCCTGCACCTGCTCCTGCCCACCAGTGGACAGAGGGACCAAGAGGACTCCACCGGGGACCCCCAGCAAGTTGGGTGTTGTATTCTGAACCAAGAATTATTTAGAAATGTGGTTTTAAACTGGTTAATATACTGCTATGTACCAAATTCTATATTTCTACATCAGAAAGAATAAACATATAATTTTTAAACTGCTCACTACTGTTTGTGTTTCTTCTACTTTTATTATTAGGAGGTAAGTTTTATTCTTTTATTAACATTGTTGCTTTATACACTTTTAGGAACGTCTTTAGGAATTTACAAATTCAAGGCTATACCTATTTCTATCCTCACTAAATCCTTGGTGAAATGAGTGTTTTATTATCGTGAGGTTATCTTCTACATCCCTAATAATGCTTTTCTGACTTAGAACTTCTTCCATAGGCTATTAATAGAGCAACGGCAGCTGCCCGGCCTCCCTGGCTGGTGGGCAGTGAAAGCCTTTCGTCCGCCTGCTTCAAAGAGGGAGAGCCGCACACGATGGCCCGGAGAGAAAAGCCCGCACTCGGGTGCGGACGTTCACGAATGACACGTGCAGAGCCACTCTGCAGAGCTGACTTGGAGACGCACACACGTGCGAGGTGCCGGGTCTCAAGGGGCGGCCCAGCGCTTCCTGCAGGTCCGAGGCAGAGGTTCGGGCACACAGCTTCGGAAGCCGTCACAAAGAGCAGAGAGCGCAGACGCCTTGCTCAGTCGCCAGGTGACACCCTGACCGTGTGCTGTCAGCGACCGTGCTAGTGGACGCGCGTTTCTGTCTAGTGTCGTGTGGGCAGCTTTAACTCTGACCTCCTCTGCTCCGCCACGCATCCAGCACTTTTCTACATTCTTACTAGAAAAAAAACCAGTGCCGTCACTTTGTTTTTACAGACAGTGACTATTTAGACCTGCCCAGCTTTGGGGCTGGTATTCCTTCCTGCGTGTGAGACCCCAGTCGGAAACCGCCCCTTTCCATGAAGGGTGCCAGAAGGAGGTGGCCTGTCTGGGGAGAGCAGCGAGGTCGCCCAGCTCAGGGGGGCCCGGGGCTGGGGACAGACATGGCTGCCAGGTCCTCTTCCTCGCCGTTCCAAAGCCTCACTCGCTGTTTCCTCGGCACCAACTACCACTGTGGAGAAGTCTGACTTTTTCTCTGGTTCCTTCCAACATCATCTCTTTTTCTTTTATACAACGCTATTTTACTACAATCTGCCAAAGTGTCCATCTAGTTTCACTAATCCTATTTGGGATTCTGTCTTTATCCTCCACTTGAGGACTCCTGTCGTGCACGGATTCTGGACAACTCTCAGCCACGGTCTCTGGTCCGTGTCCTCTTGCCCCCTCTCCAAGCTCTTCTCTGGAGTCCCTGTCAGAGACGGCAGACCTCCCCGTTCTCCCTGTCACAGGAGCTTTCCCATCTCCCACCTGCTCACCTCTCCGTGCTGTGCTTTGGGCTAATTTTCTCAGATCCAAGTTCCTGGCGCCTGACTTTTCAGCCGTATCTGAGCTGCTGTCCCATCACCCGCTGACTTCTAGACCTGCTGCCTGGTCACTGGTTAAGAGTCCCCTCTTCATCAGGGACACTTGACACGCCCTCTCCTTTCAAACGCACACAAGCACCCGTGTCAGGCTTCTCATGCCCGAAAACCCGCACGGGAACCAGCTCTATCTCTGACCGCCCACCAGACCCCGCGCCACCCTCGAGAGCCTGCCACGCCTGGTGACATTCTTAGCATTCTCAGGGAACCTCACTGCTGCTGGGGTGGGCACTAGCAGCCAGACAGCGGGTGCTGGTCGGCGCCGCCCCGTGAACCCCGAGAGTGCACCTGGATGGACTCGCACCTGTCTTCACGTGTAGAACAGTCTCTGCCTCAGAAGGTTTGGGGAGAACTATGTGACGTGCACATTTCACGAATTACAAACACAGATGTAAATAGCATGGAGCTGCACAGCCCCTGGCTCTTCACAGCCACTGGGTGGGACGTCACCTCCACCTTCCTCAGGGTCACTGCCAGCAGCAGCCTCTTCGCCCTTCACCGAGCGGGGCCGGCCGAGTGAAGCCCCACCTGACCCAGCGGGCAGTCCTTCCTTCCGAGGGCTCAGGCTCCACGGAGTCAGGCGGTGCCCCCTGAGCCCAACCCGAACTGAGGTCAGGTGAACTGGCTTCAAAGAACAAAAACAAAACTCACCCGCCGAACACTTCATGGAGCACTGAGGATGTCATTAGGCTAAGTGTGCCCGGGATGCGTCTATGTGAACGAAGAGGACACCAGAGTGTGTCACACAAGAGCACCCACAGATCTGGGTGACTAATTTTCAAATAGTCAAATAGTCTTAGTTTGAAACACTTATTTGACTAACTGACTAAATAGCTGGAGGTAAAATCTTCACTAGCCATTGATGTAAACCAACCACAGCACGCTGTCCCGGAATATTCTGTCCGCACAGCTCCCGACGTCAGGCACATCTGAAAACACAGTCTGTTTCTTCCGTAAGCTCGGACTGGAGCTTTATGAACCTAAAAGGTGACTTTCCTCTGCAAGGGCCTGACGAGCCCAGCCGCTCCGGGGGAACGGGCTGACGACCCCGACACCCTCCCCAGGCCCGACCCTCCACCCCTGCGGCGTCACCCACCAGCACAAGAACCCCAAGCTCACCAGTCATGCTTCCTGCCAGGACAGCTTTAGACGTGCTTTTTCCTATAAGCAGGTCAGGTCACCTCCCAGTGACAAGAACCACTGGGGGAGAACCAGGGCGAGGACAGGCAGGGAGTCCTGTAACGCCCCTGCAGTCCCTGGCTGCGTCACCGCAGCCTGAGTCCCCGGAGTCCCTTCCCGCTGCGATGTCCTCTGGGAGCATCAGACACCCAGCCTGGTCCCACAAAGCCAGCAATGCTGCCCAGGAATGAGGCCAGTGGCCTGGCCTCCTCACGGGCATCGGGTCTGCCGCACAGAGGGATGCAGTAAGATGGACGGACAGACAGACAGGCCGGAGCTGTGAGAGCAGGGTTGCAACAAAGCAGCAGAGGCAAAGGAGGTGTGGCCAGCAATCGGCCATCCCAGCAGGAGGCAACCAGCAGGCAGCGGCCAGAAGTCAGCAGTGCCCCAAAGACAGACTCCACAGAAGTGGAGGGCAGACCCCAGGTGGATGGTCACCAGCCAACTTCACGCAGCAGTCATGAGGACAGTCAGCTCAGAAGGTCAGCATAGGCGCCCCCCTCGGGGGTGTGATGAGCACAGAAAACAGAGCACGTGAGAATGACAGGAAGTAGGTGTGAGTTCTTACTTCCACTCCTCTGATGGGTGTGCGAGCTCATACTTCTCTCGCACGCTGGAGACGCCCATGTCCAAGTGCAGCCAGTGGACCTCCTCTGACCGCAGGTGGCTGAGCCGGAATCCATAGCAGGCCACGTGCTTTACCTTGTGACTGTCCACTATCTTCTGAATGATGCCCTAGAAACACCCCCCCCCCAGAAACAACCATTAGAGACAAAACACTGTACGCTTGCACTTGACACAATGGGCACTTCTTTGCGTTAGTGCCCAGACACCTTGGGCAAGGAGTTTCAAGTTAATAAACTACTTAATACACCTGGGAATCTTTCTTCTCAGACAGTACTGTTGTGAACAAGGAAAAGTCAAAACAAACAGACGCTCTTTCCTTTTCTGTACCAATAAGCAAGACATGGAAAAGCGGGCCAGGTCTGCGGCCTGCCCTGCGCACTGTCCCCACGCCTGCCAGAGCACACCAGCCACCCTCGGGGATCACTTTGCTGAGGGCTGGACCCAAAGAGGGGGTCACACTTTCTGAACCCAGGACGGCCCACTCTTGGAGACCAGGCTGTAACTGAGACCACTGTTTAAACACGTGCACTCAGGGACACACAAGTAAGACCAGGTGTCCAGCAGAATCGACGCTGTAGGAAAAGTTCCCTGAAGCTGGGCCCGACCACTCCGTCTGTACTCCAAAGACTGACGGGCAGCAATCTAAACCCGCCCCCAAACTTGGCACCTGGTTCTGCAGCCCATGGCTCCAGAGGAGAGGAGGGGAGGTGACCTCTGAAGGGAGTCACTGACAGGGCTTCCCGGAGGAAGTGAAGCCTCCGCTGGGGCTGGAGGGAGGGGAGCAGGAGGCCTGGCCCCGCCTCATGGCAGGGGCGGGGCGCTCCAGAGCCTGTGTGTGTGTGTGTGTGTGTGTGTGTGTGTGTGTGTGTGTGAAGAGGCCCACAGGACAGCTTGCTCACACACCTGATGAAGCCACCTGCTGCCCCCTGTGTGAGGCTGTGTTACCCACAGTCCCCGAAATCTCCTCAGTCCTTTAGGCCATTAACAGGGGTTTTTAGATGATGCTGATACTAGCATGAAATATTAAGGAAAATCACCACTGGTTTATAGAAATTCGCAGGTAACTGAATCTAGCACATAACTCAACATGTAAGACACACGTTAGCATGCTGGTGTTTCTTTACCACCAAATTGGTGTCGACCATTCAGCTGGGGGCACTCCCAGCCTGCCCCTCAGGAAGGATAGACACCCATGCCACACACAGAAACTGGCGGGGACCGGAGGTGTCCACAGCCAGGGCCACTCCTGTGCAGTGCTCCTGGTGCCTGCACGTGGTCCACCTCCCATGCAGACTGCTCAGTCCAGGACAAGCTTTGTGTCAAGCACAGGAGAGGGTGGGAGGGAAGGGCAGAGGACAAAGGCACGAACGGAGGACCAGCCGGAAGAGGCAGAGAGAGCTTTACGAAGAAGAGTTCCCACAGGGACAGGAAGGATGGAAAGAACTGAGCTAAGCATAAAATGTCCTTCTAGCTTTGTATTCAAGGCCAGGAACTTGTGACAGGGCCACCGCGGATGACGGTGCAGGCTGTGCCCTGCTGGAGGGCACCCAGCCAAGGGAGCAGGGTTGGGCGGGGGCTGAAACCCAGCCCGAGCCCCAGGGGGGGGATTTGCCCAGAGGAAGGGACATCTTTTCTAGTGACCCGCTCCAAGGCGACTCCTGCAGCTTTTCCCCACCAACACACAGACCCCTGAGCTGCACAAGATGGGGGCTGGCGCACCTTCCACACCCCCACGAAGGCACCTCTGTCCACAGCCTCAGCTGTGCCCATGCACCGCCAAGCGTGTCCCAACGCCAGCGCCGTTGCCCCGGCAAAGCCCTCTACTCCACAGTGCCTGCCACTGTGGCCTGCCTTCCTCCTGGTCAAAGCTGCCATTCACACCTGTGTGTCAGCTGTCTGTCCCCACTACCTGTCTACTCTTCCACACCCGAACACAGAGCCAGTGCAGGGCACGAACCACTCCTTGGATTTGTATTTGCCATCAGCGCCCCAGAAGCAATCCCACCTTCCCTGGCTACTCTCCTTCATGCCCCCACAAGGCTACCTACACCTCCAAGTGCCCTGAGCTCATGGAGCACACGCTGGAGCCCCTGCAGATCAGGGGGCTCAGCTGCGACTGCAGTGCTTCTCAGGGAGAAGCAGGTTCCGGGGGTGGGAGTCTGACAGGATGGACAGGACTTCAGCCATCCCGCTCCGTCGCGCTGCCCGAAGACACCCGGAAAGACTTCAAGAGCGGGTCTGCGCAACGAGGCATCACTGCAACTTTGACTCTCCACTGAAAACTGAAAGTGGTAACACAGAGACTCACCTTGTTTTTTAATCCTCACTCGAGGATATGTTTATTGATTTGAGAGAGAGAGAGACGGGGAGAAGGGGAGAGACAGACAGACAGACATGTTGATGAGAAAGAAACATCTATCAGTTGCCTCCCACACACAACCTGACCAAAACTCAGGCCCACAACATAGGCATGTGCTGTGACTGGGAATCGAACCCCACAACCTTCTGGTGCACAGGACAACGCTCCAACCAACCGAGCTGCCAGGGCGGGGCAGGAGCGGAATTAAATTTTAAAGTTGAACTTCCTAGGACTTCTGTATCATTTGTGGCACCAAAACCCTTTGGATCCAGACTAACCAGCCCTCTCTCAGAGAGAACAGCATACACAGTAACACAGAGAGCAGCAGAGGCGCCACCTAACAGCCAACACCTGAGAGGGACCCAGGACAGACGCAGACACAGGCACTGTCAGGGGCTGGACACAGAAACTGCTAGGAGATCATTCTGGGCACAGGACAGCTCTGCTGACCACATGCATCACTTCCACAGACACACAGAGCCCCAAATGTTTGAGCATTTTCCCGCTCCAATCAGAAAGGTGATTGTAAACGGATCAGAAAGGCACTTTCCACTGCGGTTCTACACCCATGCCCAGCTTGGCAGTGATGATTAGTGCCGATCCGAACAAGTGTGTTCCCCTCCAGCAAACTATGGGGACTGCGTGTGCTGTGTCCTTTCCTCCCACAGGTTCGGGTAATAATGCCCACCTTCCTCTAGTGGTTCAGGCAACACCAACAGCTTTCAGTGTGTGACAGATGGGGTGGGCAAAAGGAGGGTGGGGTGACAGTGGTTCATATGAAGACAGACACTTGTCCACCTAAAGACAAGTCCCCTTAATGGACTAAGTAGGGGGCAGTAAGGAGGAAGTTAAACACTTCCTGGAATTTTACACACTGAACTCGGTCTTCCAAAGCCCTGGGGCTTCCTCCCATTCCTGTCTCGGGAGCCTCTGTCTGGGGTGTGCAGCTCCCAAAATTCTCTGTCCAACTCTCACTCACCCCCACAGGAAACCCTCCCTTCCTGGCTGACTCCCACACCTGGGGCTTCTTGGGCTTCCGGGTCACCAGGACCCCCCAGAAAGCACCTTCTGTGCTGCCCGGCAGTGAAGGCCACAGCTGCCTCTCCCCGAAGGTGTCCACTGTGCAAGCGGGGACCTCCTCGACCTCCAGAGCCTCGCCAAGGGGCAGAGGTAGACAGGACATTCAACAACTTCAAAGAAACTATCCTATTTGGTGTTCTGAAAACACCTTCAAAGTCACACTTTCCAGAAAACAACTTACTTATCTCACAAGTATTAGAGGTTGTTTTAATTACTTTGTTTTTTGTATCCTTTGAAGAACTGAAAAGAAAACCAGGGTACTGTAAAAAGTGCAATAAAAATAAATACATGCTTACACTTACATAAAAAAAGAAAAGAAAAAATAAAGTAAAAAATAAATTTAAAAAAATTAAAAACCAGGAGAGAAAAATCAGTCAATGGTGTTACACAAATAACATATAATTCAGTTATTATCCTCCGAAGACATTTTACAACAATCTAAACTCTGGACAGTCACGCATTAGTGAAGTGAGTGTTATAAAGAAGTTAACCTCTCTGCCACATGGTATTAGAAATTACTGCTTCACTTCTTGTAGGCACCGCCAACGCCCGCCTGCACCCGCCGGCCGCGCCCCCAGGACGCTGCCCTCACCCTGACGTCGGTGGCATCTCCGTGCCTGATGATACTGGCCCACGTGGTCGGCTCACTGTTGCTTTCAAAATAGTGGAAGACTTTCAGCACTCGCTCCATGGCTCCCAGGGAACGCTCCGCACCGGTCCCCAGGTGCGTCTTGGTACTAGAATTTGGTGTGTGATTCAAGTTTGGGTCCAGGTAAGCAGCTGCCATTATCTTGCTAGATGCTAGGTACCTGTCATATTCTGAAAGAAAAAAAATAATTTCCACTGGGTAATATTTGAAATCTACTGACTGAAATGTGATACACTAATTATTACATTAACCTGTTAACGGCACTGTTTCATGTTCTCTCTTCATGCTGGAGGAGAATGAAGACCACTCAATACAACAAGATATGAATCACTGTATCCCCAACTCCTGCACGTGGGGCGGAACCGGAATCACAGTAGCACAATATTATTACAAAAAATAATGAAAGGCCAGGAGCCCTATTTCAGCTGTCAAAAATCCACTCTACTGCCCTGGCTGGTGTGGCTCACTGGATGAAGCACCAGCCTGCGAACCAAAAGGTCATTGGTTCAATTCCCAGCCAGGGCACACGCCTGGGTTGCAGGCCCCCAGTAGGGGGCGCACGAGAGGCAACCACACACTGAAGTTTCTCGCCCTCTCTCCCTCCTTTCCTCACTCTCTAAAAAGTAAACAAGTCTTTTTAAAAATCTGCTGTATTACCTATAAACAATGTGGCTAAGCCCCTTTTAAACACAGCCTCTGAATCTGCAGAAACGACTCACAGGAAAACCAAAGGTTAGTTTTGTTGCCAGTTTCCAGAACGCATCGGAGACCCAAGCTCCGCCCCCGAGACCCAAGCTCCGCCCCCACAGTGACATTCCGGTGAAAGGTCCTCTCACCCACCGGGTTTCGGGACCAAAACCAAAGACGAAGCATGGACCTCCAGCTCGGTGATCGCCCCGCAGCGGGTCAGAAACATCGCGACAGCTCAAAACCAAACCCACAGACTGAAACAAGGGAATTTCTTTAGCGCAACAGGACTTCCCTGTGAGGGAAACGCTCAGACAAGACACAAACTCCGCGGGGAGCCCCCGCCCAGCCAGGCGGAAACAGTCCCTCTGGAGTCTCAGCCATTGTGGGGCCCTCACGACAATAGGTGACAGAGGTGGCTGCCTTGTCCCAAAGGGCACTGGCCACTCTATGTCTTCAAGGGCCTTAAGATCCGAGAAAAAGCCTCTCATGAAAGAGAAACCAAGCCGACGTGCCACACGAACCTAACCGTGAGCTCACCGGGCGCTGGATGCCGGTGAGAAAGCTGGGCGGAGCGCGAGGCCCCGCCCTGGCCCCGCCCCAGGCCCTGCCCTGGCCCCGCCCCAGGCCCCCCTCCGGGCCCCGCCCCGAGGCAGCCCAGCTCGAGAAGCCGGCAGGGAAGGGAGGAGGCGCCCAGCTGACTGTACCAGCATCTGGCACCTGCAGGAGGGTCCGAACCGAAGAGCGACAGCCTTGATCCAATCACGCTACACCCGGTAGCAAGTCACCCTTGCGAGGGAAATCTTTACTCAATAAGCGTGTGAAACACCAAAATTGACCACATGTTGGGTGAAAGATTCAATACAAGTCAAAGACTAAAATTACTCACAGTATGTTCTGTGTCTAGAATTGAGCTGGAAAACAACAAAAAGATAACCAGAAAACCCCCAATTGTCTGGGAATTACCCAAAAAGGAGCTCAAAGTATTCTGAACTGAATGATACAATGAAAAGAAATATCAAAACTGGGTGCCGCCCTGGCTGGCGTGGCTCAGTGGATAGAGCACCAGCCTGTGGGCCAAAAGGTCTCTGGTTCGATTCCCAGTCAGGGCACATGCTGGGTTGTGGGCAGGGTGTCCAGTAATGGGTGTGTGAGGGGCAACCACACATTGAGGTTTCTCTCGCTCTTTCTCCCTTCCTTCTCCTCTCTCTCAAAACAATAAAACAAATCTTAAAAAAAATGATGTGGACAGGATTGTTCTTAAATTAAAATATATACTATTAAATGCGTATTTCAGGAATGGAGATTGGAAAGCAATTACCTTAAGTAATCAATACCTAACAGTACCAGTTAGAAGCTGAACAAAACGAAGTGACTGGAGGAGTACGACCGACACCAGCTGGGAGGCCCCTGGCTGGTCGAGTGAAAAGGGGCAGAACTAGCAATGTCAGGGGTGAAAGAGGACAGGTAAGAAGACATCAATGGTTAGTGAGAGGTAATAATAGGACATTAAAACAGTAGTAAGAGATTATGAACTTTATGCCATTTCAAAATTTAGATGCATACACAGTTCCTGGCAAAGTGTACCTTACCAAAACTGAAACAAGAAATATAAACTCTAAACAGACCTACTCTACTAAAAATAATTTAGAATTAAAATTCTTCCCACAAAGAAATATTCAAACACTTCCAACACTGTAAGGAAGAAACAATAGTAACCTCACAGAAATCCCCCCAGAGAACAGGGAACGCTTCCCAAGTCATTTCGAGGCCAGCAAACCGGCACAGACCCAGCGAGGATGGGGGACGCGGGGCCAACCAATCTGTCTTATACATGCCAGTGCAGAAGGCTCTGCAAGACACTAGCAAATGTGATTCACAACATTTAAAAAGAAAAATATATTATGACCGAGAAGCTTATTCAAGAAATGCAGAATTGGTTAAACATTCAAAAAGCAATCAACATTCACAGCAGCCGCATTCAGAATCACCACCTCACGGAAGTGGCCAAGACGTCCTTCCGTAGGCGACGGGCAAACAAACCGTGGTCCAGCCGGACCGTGGGCTGTTACTCAGCGCTGCAAAGGGATGAGCTGCCCAGCCACAAAGAGACACAAAAGAACCCTAACTGCATGTTACTACGTAAAAGGAACCAACCTGAAAAGCCACACCATGTGAGTGCAACTGCATGATATTCCAGAAAAGGCAGAACCAGAGGGACAGTGACACTGTCAGTGGAGGCAGAGGCTGGTGGCAGGGGTGCAGAGGGGTGAACGGGTGGAGCGCACCGTTTTTAGGGCAGTGAAGATGCTCCGTGTGACACTGTAATGTAATGAGTTTGCATTGCGCAGCTGTGCAAACTCACTGCATGGGTGGACCTAACGTCAACTATGGACCCTGGGCAGCCACACTGTGTCCGTGTAGGTCCATCAGTTCTAACCAAGGTCCAGCTCGGGCGGGGGACAGAGGGAGGCTGTGCATGGGGGCGGGGGCACAGGGTTCGTGGGAAACCTCTGTACCTTTTCCATAAATCTTTCTGTGAATCTGAAACTGCTTTTTAAAAAGTTTCAATTTTTTTTAAAAGCAATCAGTGTAGCCCAGCCAGGTGGCTCATCTGGTTGGGGCATCATCCAGTACCCAAAAGGCTGAGGGCTCAGTCCCAGGTCAGACGGGAGGCAACCTGTCAGTGCTTCTCTCGGCACTGATGCGTCCCCGTCTCTCCCTCCCGCTCTCTTCCCTTCCCTTCCCCCCACCGCCCCACACATAGGAGGCAACCAACTCATGTTTCTCTCTCCTTTTTGCTCTCTCTAAAATCAGTAAACATATCCATAATTGAGGACTTTTAAAAAATTGAAAAAGCAATTAATGTAATTCACCATATTTTTAGAAAGGAAAAGAACCCCAGTTATCTCAACATATGTAGAAAAAGAACCTGATAAAGTTTATCAACCACTCATGATAAGGAAAAAATTCTTAGCAAAGTAAAAGCAGGAATAAATTGTTATATTGACACAAATTAAATACAGTGGAAAGCCCACCCCCACATGCCCGGACACACCCCCACCCCAAGCCTGGGAAGAAGTCATGGTTAACCACGGGCACTGCCACCACCCACAATGGCATGTTCGGGAAGTCTGGGCAGAGGCCACAAGCAGAACAGAAAGTCGCACAGGGTCGGGAAGGAAGAGCCCAAGCTGCCGCTCTTCACGGGCCCCACGACTACGGGTCAGAGGTGGACTGTTACAACTGCTCCACGAGCTGAGCGCCGCTGCTGGGCCACCCAGCAGAACCAAGCACACCTGGGACGGCTTCCACAGGCTCTTCCCCTCCCCAAACCACCTCCCCCAGCCAACAGTGAAACCAAGTGGGGTCTCGGCACCTGCGGAGAGAAGCGTGCGTCTCCAGAACAGCCAGAGCCAACCTTCACCGGCTGTGAGGTTCGTTACTCCAGACACTAAGCATGGCCACGGAGAAGGAAGCCCAAAATGCAACACCATCTGGATGTGCCTCCGAACCCCCAGACCAGTGGAGAAAGCCCCTGTGCCCTCAGAAGCAGGCCGCGGCCATGCAAAGGCAAATCAGCACATGAGGCCCTAGAGACGAACCGCGGCCCGGTGCCTGCAGAGGAAGCCCCTTCCCCGACAGGTGCGACTGTAGTTTGGTGCTCTCGTCTGCCTGTCAAAACCCTATCTGGTCTCCGCATCCCCCCGCTGGCCGCGCTTCCACCATCCAGCCTTCCCTGACCCTTCTCGATAGTTCTGTGTGCGACCCTGTTCACGCCCGCCACCTTCGGCCTTCACAACGCCTTGGCGCAGCGCACTGGAGGGTGGTCTCCGCGCGGGCACAGCTGCCCGCTGCTGTGCTGACTGTCCCACCCCCCAAGGCTTCTGCGGTCCTGTGTCCGTTTCTGGCCCATGGCCAGGGTGTCGCCACTGGGGAGGCTGGCTCCGCCCCTCCCACCCACAGGGCTTTGACACTGTAACCCTTCTACACACAACCTGCGGCCAGCTGTGTCCTTTATAACTTCTCCCCACCAACTAGACACAGAAACCTGCCGCCTCTGCACAGCTCAGGGCATCTTTTCCAAGCACGTGTCAGCAAGAGGAAGCTGAGAAACTTGAAGGACTGAGACACCTGGTCTCTCCCGGCTCAGACCTCCCACTCCTAAACGTCTGTGAACAGCCAGTTTGCTTCATTTCCAGCCTGTCCCAGACTAATATGTACTTCTACAAAGTACAGTGCAAGGGAGTTTCTAAGAAAACAAAATTTAAAAATAAAAGACATACAAAAGTCAAGCACAAAACTTCTACCACCAGTCAACAAACACAGAGTTCCCGTCAAAACCGCCCTGTCCTGGGCGGTGCCAGCCCCCGCACCCCAGCCACCGCACCTGCAAGGGTCCCACACACAGAGCGCCACGCCGCAGCAGTGACAGCTGCTGGGCCGTCCAGAGCCTCGGGGCTCCCTTCAGTGAGCAGTGGAT